GAAGGAACACAGTATTATGCAGTCAGAGATTACGCTTTATCTGTTTCAATTAAAGTTTGTTCAAAAGCTACAAAAATAATTGTGTGATCTTGTAAACTGAACTTCGACTAAATTTAATTCTTTTTGTTTTAAGCGATTTACTTTTTATTTTTTACGGCAATAACTTTATTTCATATTTGTATTTTTTATTAGATATAAAGCTATAATTAATTAAACAACAATAACAACAGATATAAAATAAATCCAAATCTAAAAATAACACGTCTCTTGTTTGTTTTTTGTTGAGTAATTATTACGAATGAGTCTTGTCGTAAACAATTCAAACTTGTTTTAAACAATTAAAAATTCCATTATTCATCCAGTTTCCATGACTTGACTTGACATGACAACTTGACAATATCAATTATTATCATAAAAATGATGGTAGTTTTGTCCAGATTGCACATACCTAACTAGGTACAAAGTTACAATCGATTAGAATTATTTATTGTTAGATTGTTAATAGCCGTATTCCGAATTACATAGGCTACGACCTCTGAGTCTGACTATAAGTTATATGACGTGGAAAGTAAAAATTTCAAACAAAAACATATTGTTGCAATAGCGACAAAAGGAAATATAAGAAGACGATTAAGGTGATAATTATTTCCCAAATTACCATAAAAGTATGACAATTTAAACGTTCTGTAATGTGTATATATTTTTTTTGTTTTTTATTCAGAATCTCAGTTTTATGATGTACCTACCTATTGTTTATTCATAACTACTGCGTTCTGCTTAAACATTTTATTTAATACTAGCGACTCGCACTCAGATTCGTCCGTAGGTGATTTTTTTGACGTAACTTATGAACCGATTGAAATAAAATAAATACTAAATGCTATGTTCAGCTTACCACGATACATTCGTGAAAATTGCACCCAAATCGGTTAAGCCGCTTCTGAGATTAGCGCGCACAATCGCACAGACAGACAAAAATTCTAAAAATCATTGTTTTGGGTTCTATTGCGTTAATAAAGACAGTTTTCTCAAATATTTTCCATGTACAGACAGCGATCAGTTACACTTATATATATAGATTACATATTTACTGTTGCAAATATGTAATCTATATATATACTCGTACATGAAACGACGTATGAAATATTGTAAAAATAGATCGAATGCTATATGGTGAAAGAATAAGTAAATATACAATCACATTTTTAATATATGATACGACGTATTTCACATTTAAGTATAAAATGTACTATAAATATCACAACATAGCAACCTATTTTTAATGTTTATAATCTTCTGTTTATGTATAATGTATAAAGTGTAATAATATAATCTGTCGTCAAAGAAATTGTAAATTTTATCGTTATTTCCACGTTGGTAAATATTTATGGAATTGGACAAAATGCTCTCCTCACATAAGGTACTAGGTAGGTATTAGTAAGCTTTTGAGGAGAAATAGGATATAGTTTATTGGTAAAAGCAGAATATAAAAACAATGTATGCAGGATGACAATTTCCAACAAGGAACGTCTTTATGATAAACTAGCAACTCACCCTCGCTTTGCTCAAGTTTGTCTCTCGGTACGTTTTAACGGTTAGTATGGAATAGATAGACATAGACATATAATATATAGATATATTATAAGATATGTAGCCTTATAGCCTTCCTTAAAAACCGGACTATCTAAAATTTTTGAAATCGAATTAGTAGTTCTTGAGATTAGCGCGTTCAAACAAACAAACAAACTCTGCCTCTGTATAATATTAGTAAAGATTAGTATAGATAATAGAACGCCTAGCTACTTGTGTCATCATGTTGCTCCTGGTACTTCTCTGATAGCAGAGTGAACTGTTGAAGCAGCCCTATGGTTGTTCTAGTCTGCTTTAACAGACCTGCCGTCGGGGCATCGTGGTTACATCATAGCACACAATTCCAAAATTTAAAATATATTTAAAAGCCATATCTAGAAATCTCTTTTAAACCAAACCACAAAGCTCAGCGTCGCGACAACAATATTAAATACTGTTACCGAGGCAATAGTGTTAAACCACAAAATATCCAAGGCATGACTTTGCGGTCGTAAATACTTTTAAGTAGGATATTTGCCTTTGTTATATTCCTCTGACTTAAGTCTTTGAGATGATAAAAAAAACCTAGTGTTATAAGCTCTATTTTTCTTTTTTTAATATTTTATTAAAAAACCTTAAGTAATTATTAGTATTAGCCGTAAGCTCTTAACATATAATCATTACAAATTACTAAAATATTAAAAAAAATCAACGATTTCAATATGAATAAGAGTTTCGTTTTAATTTCTAACTATAAATACATGCTCGTAATAAAAATAATTTGAGGAAAAACCATACTCTTACAGAACACAACTGACAACAGTTATTTACCTATGAATATAAACGGCAATATAAATAGGCATTACTAATCCTATTTGCCAAGGTGTATACTGTAAGCTATTCGAAATGCAGTTGGATAGCTATATCGTGTGCACAAGTGCGATGTCATCGGCCAATGCACCAAGACCGAGGGGCATTGTACCAACTTACACTACACGGGAAAACACGTTTCAATACAACTCAAAAAAAATGTATGATTAGAATTACTATAAACTTAGTAGGTATTAATGCTCTTCAATACAATAATTAAATAAATACGTGTTTTAGCAGTTTTCGAAATTCATCCCATATGGTAGTCATGCTAGTTAAATATAAATTAAACTATTTTAACTATTTAGTAATATCTGTCAAATGTGGCTTCAACAAAATATGCCTATCTCACGAGCTAGAGACTTTCTAGCAATCTGTAAGCATGCTGATCAACACAGTGATTAAAAGTATCCTAGTGCTACCATCAAATACATAGCAGGATCAAAAAATTTACCAAAATGTACAAATATAAATACTATTGAACTGCTAAAATGTACTCCATTATATTTTTGCGTATATATAAAAATATACCTATGTCAATCTTAATTGTCATACCTGCTCAGTAAGAAGGCTGGACTGACTTCCATTCATTTCTCAGCTCAGAACAATTTTCATTTGAAAACCCTTTAAATTTATAATTCCATCTCATTATTGACTGTATCATTTGTACATATATATATACATAGCAGATGTTGTGGGATACCGCTTGGTGCAATAAAAGGAGCGTGAATGGTCTGGTATTTGAAGATGTCTTTTCTGTGCAGTTAAGTCGATATTTCTAATGTAATTATATTTATACACTTTAGGTCGTCAACCGATTAACGACCGGATTAACGAACATTTTGAAATCCCATAATGTAAGGAACTGAACTTCATACGATTCTGTCTCGTAATTGAACGATTTATACTTAAAAAATCTTGATCTTATTCGTTTTAACCTAGCCTCGTAAATGTGAGTCATGACTTAAAGGTATCTATAAATATTATTTCCTAAACAAGTCTAAGAGTTTATGAATGCGCTCATAAAGGCAAAAAAATATCAATGACTAATACTTTCTTATAAAAAAACATCCGAAAAGATTTAATTTTTCATTCTTACTAAAAACTAGCATTGCCCGCGGCTCCGCCCGCGTTCAGATGACCAAAAACCAAATCCTTAGGTTTTACATATTAGTATATTCTTCCATTGCAGTTTTTGTATTTTTTCTCATAAATGCGACATTTTCCCGCGGTAAAAAGTGTCCCATATATTGACCCGGTTAACCTGCTATCACCATTCACAAATCAAATCCCTCCAGTGGTTTCTCTGTGATGCGGTAACAGACAGACAAACAAAAATTCTAAAAACTCTAGATTTGGCGTCTGTATCGACAATAATGTCTATTTCAATAAGATTTTCCAAAAAATATTTAATGTACAGATTCGGCTTAGTTACAATTTTATTATATGTATAGATGATATCAATGACTAATATTCAGTATATTGAGGTAATTAGTGTGAATAAAAACTTTTTGCCAGACAAATTAAAGCACATCGACTTCAAAAATATCTGATTAGGTATTTATGGTAAATAAAAACTACCAATCAGTTATTTTTTACTTTTTAGTGTTTTTTTAAGTTGGTTTATATTTTCTTTTTTAAGTTTTTATTTTTCCATTTTTAGTGAAGACATGGCAGTAGCAAAGTAAGAAGAATGTATTTTTATTAAATTCTGTTGGTGAAAAATTAATCATATTTTCTACACATAGGAGTGGTTTTTTTTCAAATTTAAATGGTAAACTTTGAGGTAAACCCTATCCAATAAAAAATAAGTAAAAAGATACGCGTGGTTAAACGTAAAAAATATATATACCTATGTGTCGAATTGAGAACCTCCTCCTTTTCTTTTGTCGGTTAATAAAATAACATTACATGTCTGCAAGCAAAATTAGTATTAACGAGTAGTTACAAAATTTACTAAAATCATAATAAACGTTTAAAATTCAAATTAACAAATATTGTAAGGTGTCGTTTTTGTATTTTTTGAAATCAATTTGTAATTTTGTGGGTAGGTGCAACAACTACATATATAAGACGTCCAAACTTCATTAAAAAGATAGGTAGTTTTATTTAAATTGTTTTTATGTTCGTTTCCCTATAATGTATATATTTTTATACTTGTATGTATATTATTATAATTAAAAAATATTATGGTATGTAGTAGGAAGTTGAATAGTAATTTTTGCAATAACCGCTGCGTTATAAATGCATATGTATGTATGTATTGTTACTTGAATTTTGCTCATGAACTTATTTATACCTATTTTAGATACTACAAACATACTTAATTATTTTAAGTAGCAAAAAATATTAAATAGATTTTGTTATCTTTAAAATTAACCGCTTATCTTCAAGGTTAAAATATCAAACAAACTAATAAACATTCATAAAAAATTGAACAACACCATTGAGTAATTAACGTGTCCTTTGGAGTCACGTGCATATATTTTAGCTTATCAATATTATGAATTATTCATAATAATAATTGAGCAAATTTTTCTCATGCATAATTATCATTGCAGGGGCCGGAAAACAAGTTATCAAAGGTGTTAGCGGCAGGTTTATGTCCGGACAGCTCATAGCTATAATGGGACCTTCTGGCGCAGGAAAAAGCTCTCTTCTGAATGTTATATCTGGGTTAAAGTACGTGAAGTTTTTATTATTATAGGATATTTTAAAACGACTTTAGATATTTACCCAACTATTGTGAAGCCGAAAGAAAGGTTATGTGTTTGACCTGTATGTATATAACGTATGTAGTATATAGGTCCGATCATATGTTCCCTCGTAATTACTAAACGGCGCGGCGTGACTAATTTTAATGATTCATACGGCATTAGATTCGTCATCAATATTAATTAAAATCGGAATGAACATTGAAGTGAAGAGTGGACTTTTATTTATCTCATTATGGAAAACAAAAACAAACCTATCCCACGGAAACCGTAAATTTTTCCGGGATAAAAAGTTGCTTATGTATTATTCCAAGCTTTAATCTATCTCTGTGCCAAATTTCATACAGATCCGTTCAGCCGTTCTGGCGTGAAAGAGTAACAAACTTTCATACTCACAAACTTTGACATTTATAATATTAGTATAGATATAGATTAAATTATTATTACCATTAGTTAGGCCTAAGTAAAATTAGAATAGATAGTTAATTTAACAAACTTAATAAATTTTACCTTAACAGGTCTGCCGGAGTATCAGGTGAATTATTAGTAAACGGTCAGACACGAAATGAGCAGTATTTCAAAAGATCATCATGCTATATAACACAAGAAGATCTTCATCAGCCGCTCCTAACGGTACGTGAGGCTATGGATGTTGCAGCCAAGTTTAAACTACCCAAAGGAGCAAAAATACCTTCTGAAGATATCCTACACCAGTTAGGACTGCTTGAACATCAACATACTAGAACAGATAAACTTTCTGGTGGACAGAGAAAACGGTAGGAATATTTTAAAACACGTATTAACCTTGATTGATAGGAGTTCTCAGTAGCTGTATTTTTAAAATTAAATAAAGATTTCGCTTCCTTTGCTAGAGGGTATTTCGATTATGGTCGCACTTTTAGCGGAATTATAGCTACTATAGATTAGTACAGATTGTAAAAAACCCATCGCAAGTATAAATCGATGCTGCTTTTTAGATTTTTACGAAAAACTTACAATGGTTAGATATACATTCTGCTCGAATCACATTAGTAGTTACGAAATCTACCTTACTGATATTTGAATGCTATTTTTCTTATATGGCGTTTTCAGAGAATTAGAATACAATGATATATTCCTCATTCTAAAGCACAAAATGCAATAATTTATTTTAAAGTTATAAATCTAGGCTATTAAAGAAATACAAGTTTAATTTGATAAACAATTAAAAAAATATGTTTTTTTTGTAATTTTATCAACATATCAAGTTGAGTGGACAATTTCAAGCTTTTCAAGAGAAACATACATTACAATAAACAATCATATTACAAAACGTATAGAAGTAATCGGAAAACCAATCAAGTTTCCACAGATTTATTTATTGTACATTGAAGAAGCATAAAAATATGGTATAATTTCAATTATCATTATAATAACAGTAGTAACAGTATGCTAATGGATTACTGATAGTACATTTATAATTGCCTCGGTGGTGTAGTGGCTAGCATGTACGGCTGTACACCCGGAGGTCCTGGGTTCGAGTCCCGGGTCGGGCCAAGTTTAGTTATTGAGTCTTTCTCTGTAGTAAGCCTCAGTAACAGCCCGGAGTTGGTAAATTGGCGGTGTTTCTTCCCCGTATCTCGGAGAGCACGTAAAGCCGTCGGTGCTGCGCTTTAACTCTCACCGGTCGTGTCGAGCAGTCGTCCTACCAGAGTATGAGAGTGACAGGAATAGAGAGTGCACGTTGTGTCTGCGCGTACACTTGTGCTCTATAATATCTCCTGCGCAGTTGGCTAGTCTCAATGAGATTGGCCGCCGTGGCCGGAATCGGTCAGGAGAACATTATTATTAGTACATATATTTAATCTTTGATAAAGATTTAACATAAACATTATATAAAATTGTACACTTAAACTTAATAGCATATATGAAACCTACGATGGTATTGTTATTAAAAGAGAATATTGCGAATTAATATTTTACGATGCAATTCTATTATTATACTTGAAACATAAGTTTATTAGTACTAAAATGATATTTTTAATAGTTACGTTATAAATTAAAAACAAAAGGCATCTGTATATCATCATTCTATGTCCATTGTCCTAGCTAAGTAGAACAAGGCTCAAAATGCTTATCGAAGTACCACACCTGATTTTTCTTTCTAATAATCCTTTAAGAGGGCACCGAGCTTTTTATTTTAGGAGGGCGACAACTGGCAGAGGGGGTATGGCTAGGATGGAGTGCGAATTTAGATATTTCCTTCGTATTATTAAAACAAATACACGTTTTGAAAATGTAAAGTGTATGCGATATAGAAAACGTATAGTTTTGTTATTTTTTAAAATCTGATGAACTTCCTTGAATTATTTAGGCCGCACTAAAGGTTTATTTTGTTTTTTAGAGATAATTTTGGGTTTTTTTCTATCGAGGAAACTACATAATTTTGGGTTTTTTTCTATCGAGAAAACTACAAGTAATCGTGTTTCTAAAGTGTATGATTTATAGAATAAATCCTTAAATATCCTACATGTTAATTGCATAGTTAAAGTTTTAGCAATAACAATACAGCAAGGGATCAAACGAACGCAATTTTTTCGTAATTGCCTCGGTGCGCCCTTAATTCCCTAAGGGGCTTATTTATTTATATATCAAGTTTATAAGTTATTTTATTACAATGACTATTATTGACAAATTTTAGACAGCAACACATATCGAAGTAGGTACATATTTCAAATGTTAGGGCATTCATATCCAGGCATCTTTTATATCCCCCCAACGTACGTTCACCTTGTCGTGGTTGGGGGTTCATTAGCGTCCGGCAATCCAGCGGAGCGCTAAGCCAAGAAACGCACTGGGAGGTGGCCCACTTCGTTGGGCAGTGTACCATGTGGGTTGCTCCTAGTGTTTTTCTGACGGCAAAGTGGACCGTTGGAGCAATCCCATGGTTGTTGTGGTCTGCTTTGGCAAACATGCTGTCGGGGCGTCGCGAGACCCCATTAAGACGGGGGAGGTTCTGTTGGGTTTAAGTGGGTACCTAGTTTAATAGTACTGGCTGTTCTAGCCGGAGAGTCTCATATAAGATCTGACACCTATAGACATACAGGTGGTACGCGTAAATACATTTCCCAATTTTAAAAAAAAGCATCTTTCATATATGTATATTGTGTATAAGAATTGAATGCACCTTGTATTTTTACATAAACGGATTTATATACGTGCGAAATCGTAGGCAAGTGCTTAATTATATATGAATTGAAAAACGATATTAGTAAACACAATTCTTATCTACATATGCTCATAGGCTCATGTTCTTTCCATTCTTTTTTTATTTTCAGATTATCGATAGCTTTAGAATTAGTAAACAATCCACCGGTTTTCTTCCTTGATGAGCCAACAAGCGGTCTCGATACAGTCACAACATCGCAATGTGTGAAATTATTGCGACAATTGGCGAGACAGGGAAGAACGGTGGTGTGTACGATACACCAGCCCCCTGCTTCACTTTTCGAAATGTTCGATCAGGTAAGAATAATAAATTTTATCAAATATTTAACAGTTTTGTATGGCTGAAGACCTGAGGTCCTGGGTTCGAGTACTGGGCGAGCTAGTACAGTTGCTGGATTTTTCTGTCATGATTCAGTAACATCCTGGAGTTAGGAAGTCGGTGGTGTACCTGGAAGACGCACGTTAAGCTGTTAGTCCTGCGCCTTACCTTTCATCGGTCGTGTCGTGTTATTGTCCCAACGTTTTATAAGTTTGTTTGTAAGGTGCACTTGTTGGCGCATGCACTTGTGTACTATAATATTGTGTCCCGCGCAGTTGACTATAGTCTCTGTTAGGGTGGCCGCCGTAACCGAAGATATTATTGTTTATTGCTCGATAATTTTAACATTTTTTACTTAGAGGCCATCAGAAATTACATAATTATAATTTATGTTAATATGCATAATACATTGTAACATCCTTCTGACCGAATTCGGCCACGGCAGGCAATCTTACTTAGATTATCCAAGTGCACAGGAGATATTATAGTGCACAATTGCACGCACAGACACAAGTACACTCTTTATTCCTTTCATTCTCAATTTCCGATGAAACAATACTTCGACACGACCGGTAAGAGTGGCGCAGGACCATTGGCTTTACGTGCTCTCCGAGACGAGGGGTTGAAATACCGTCAACTTCCCAACTTCGTGCTGTTACTGGGGCTTCCTTAACAGAAAGTCTCAATAACTAAACTTGGCTTTACTCGGGACTCGAACCCAGGACCTCCGGATGTGCAGCCGTACATGCTAACCACTACATTAATGAAGTATTACATTGTAACATATATGTGCGGAGAACGTACATTACTGCTGTTATTTACGCTTTTTTCCTATCAAAATAAGCGTACAGAATTTGTGTCTAGTAAGCTGTTTTTTTTTAAATAAAATAATGCTTCTCTTCTATGTGCACAAATGGCCTTAAGCATGTCAGAAACGGAAAATTTAATACAATAAATATAATAACAATAACTTTAAAGTCGCATATATGTATTGAATTTAAATATAAAAAAAACATCGGAATAAATTAAAAATGCTTAAACAGGATGTTGTTGCGTTGGTTATCGACTCTACAAATAATATATACTGTTGTGTTGCAACTGCCTCAGTGGTGTAGTGGCTAGCATGTACGGCTGCACACTCGGAGCTCCTGGGTTCGAGTCCCGGGTCGGGCCAAGTTTACTTATATAGTTGGCTAATCTCAATGAGATTCGCCGCCGTAGCCGGAATCGGCTAGGAGAACATCACATCACTGTTGTGTTATAAAGAAATTTGTATGGCGACCTCCTGGTTATATCACCAGGCCAAAACCAAAGCATGAAGCTTTACACTAATTATTTTCGCATTATTTCCAAAATAATATGTACTTTAAAAATTAATTACAATTCTTGAACCGACAAAAAAATTAACAGTTAAACGAAAAAAGTTAGTTAAATACAATACGATTCTTCTTATAAAAGAAACTTGTACTTTTAAAATTGTCTATTTAATATCTCATGGACGGCTCTAGCTTTTCAGAATAGAGCCTGAAAAATAATTACTTACAAGTCGAAACGTTGGGAACCAAAAATCAAAATAAATCCGCGAAATAATCCGAAAAGATAGTTTTATTTAAAATGTCAAATATTCACGTAAATCTAATAAAGTATTATAAGAAAGTATTATAATTACTTACAAGGTTTAAATCGAATAGAGAGACACAAACCTACGAAGGAGTGTTATTTAACCTTGTTAAATACTAAGCAAATCACATGAGAACCGTAAAAACAAAGTACGATTAGTCATATTAAGTATTTAGTTAGTTACATTGAAATATCTGAAATAGTTAATTACGACTAAATATAATTTGTACCTACTTAGTGATCAAGTATACGTCCACCATGTTGAGCACATATCATTATGCGGTAGACTTGACAGATGTTACCCTGTGAGCATGTAATATTTGTAGAAAGTTGTTTCGCGTATTTGTAATTGAGATACATATTAGCAATAGAATTTATTGTGTAATATACTTATGTCCCTTTATTTATATAGGTTTAGTACGGTATAAAAATCGTTTTTTAACTGTGTGACCGGATCATACGATATTCATGAAAAATGCTTACAATATGTATGAAAAGTGCCAAAAAGTGTCAAAATAATGACTATTTCATTGAGATTTTCCAAAAAATATTTAATGTACTGATTGGACTCGGATAGAATTTTATATATATATATATATATATATATATATATATATATATATATATATATAGACTAGCGACTAACCCTCGCTTTGCTTCGGTTTCGTCCTTAGACAAAAACCAATCTATCCCACGGGAATCGTACATTTTTTCGGGATGATATATAGCCTTCCTCAATTATTTACGATCTATTTTGAATATGTATGTTATTATGTTCAATAAAATTTTTAAATCTTTAAATCATTTAACGGGCTATCTAATGCATCTAGATTAGTAGAAAGATATATTTATTATGTAGAAATACATATTTTTTACTTAAGCCTTAATTAGGATCTCGTGCTTTATCAATCACGTGATTCTAGAGTCTAATATTTATTCATAAGCCGTTTCCTACAGGTATCATTATAAAAAAGTCATCATTACAAAATAATCACGACCACTCTCTCACTGATGAAACCGGTGCACACCTCTTGACACCCTTGTCTAACCACGCTGATGTGGCGCCCAAGCCACTATATTAAGACTATTGAGAAGGCGGACGTCCGGTAGTTTTATACTATAGCCCAGTTTTTTAACCCGTCAAAACTCCATTCCATAACCCTATATACTTTTCCATATTTCCCATTGTCCCTACGCATTATCCGGAAACCATCTTTGGGAAATTAGTAAAACATGTTGATTTTTTTGCAATTAAAAAAATCGGTTGGAGAACCAAAGAATCTAGGGAAGCGAGAGAGGGTCATTGGTTCAAAAGTCACTTATGTTTCACATAATTTACAATATGAAATTAATATGAAAATAATTGCCAAGCCGTTAATTGCACTACTTTTATAATAACTTTATATCAGTAGTGCCATTATTATAAATTATCCACGGGGCCTTTAAACGTAATATATACCAACATCGAAGTCAATAACTTTTCCTCAAATGAATAATGCTAGCGAGATAAAAATAACACGTACTTAATAAGAATACAATTGCACAAACAATTGATTATTTTACCGGTTTGTAGAGAATACTTGTTAATTATGTTGTCTTTGACCTAGTAAGAATAATTACTTTTGGTATTTGTTTTTGGCCCTTTGTATTTAAAAATATTGTACCAGCATATAAATAAAAATAACGTATGTGTGTGTACTAATGTACGCACGTAAGAAGCTATGCTTCTTTGGCGTAACAGAACAAAAACAGCTACAGATTTCACCGCGTATGTCAAAACTCTTTGTTTGTAAAAGGAATGCAGCTAACTTCATCATGTCTCTTTTTAGCAGTCGACGTGCGCGCGCATCGTTAAAATTTTACTCTCATATTTTTTTCCAAACGTGCCAAAAAAATAATAATTTCAAAAATTAAACCGACTTCAAAAATAACTTCCAGGCACTAAAAAGTAAAAAATAACCGAAAGGGGGTTTCATTTACTATAGATACCTAACCAGATATTTTCGAAGTCGGTGCGAGCCGATGCAAAGCAAGTCTATTTCAATACGTCACAAATTGATGTATATTATTTTAACTATATTACCATGACATATTTACCTATTTAGATATTAACATCTTAAAGCGTTGTCAGCTGGCATCGTCTTCGACAATATCTGGTATTGGTATCTAAATTCCCTTAGTCGAAATAAATGTTAAAAAAAGAATGATCAAACCAAATACATATATACAATATACATACATACAGAGTTACATGCACCTATAAAATTTTGTATACCTATATGTTTAGAAGCCCTAATAGATTATCATATGTGAATATTTTGCAGTTCCAATTATATTACACACAAGTGTCGAATTGATAATATCCTTTTTTAAGCCTAAAATAAATAAGTTTGTGCACTAATTTGGGTACCTAGTTGCCTAAGTGTACCATATAGTAGCACTCCACATCGTGGACATACGTGGACACGGGGTACCAAATTATACATACAAACTTTTGAATTTATACAAGTAGCCTGATATTATTTGAAAAAGCTTTTTAAGTTTTTTCCTCATTCGTCGTTCTTACTGTTCTAGTTCGGATCATTCGAATATTGAATCATGAATTTGAATGGAATTTTCCTATTGTACAAGTACCTAATATATCTGAATTAATTAATAATAATTATTATTATCTATACATATAATAAAATTGTAACTAAGCCGAATCTGTACATTAAATATTTTTTGAGGTTTCAGATTCATTTATTACTCAAAAGAATACAATTCACTCTTACTGAGACACATTAGTTTTACGTAGGTAACATTGTAAACGGGCAGCTAATATTTATATAAAAAATAAAATATATTTTGCGGGTAATACAAACTATTTTATGGATTAGAACTCTGAATAAGAATACTGGAAGTGGCTTTAAGTATATAATTTTACTGTCATATATTATGTTGTTAATTCAATACAAATTATCATATTATTAAGTATTAACTTTAAATTTAGTAACAAGTATAAGTATTATATGATCTGTGGTAACAAATACTTTAATATTAAATATAGAAAGATTAGGTTTTTGATGTTTTATTTAATATATTTATTGCCATAATGTATTTTCTGAACCGACCTTAAAGTTAGTTTAAAAGTAATTACATATTTTATTTATAATTAACCGTTTCCCTGTTCCATGAGCCATATATGAACATTTCGATTGTTTAACTATTGTGTCTATTTTGCGGACAGTTAATCTGTTAATTTATCAAATGTACTTATATGAGATCACCCTAGAGAGAACAATCATAAAAATTCGTTCGCAATAAGCAAAAATACCGTCTAACATAAATTTAATAAACACAAAAACAATACAATAAAAGGATGTTGTTTATTGGAAGACAGAAGGAGACATTATTATCGATACAGAGTCCGAATTTATAGTTTTTAGAATTTTTGTCTGTCTGTCTGTCTGTTTGTTACCGCATCACGAGAAAACCACTGGACAGATTTTGATGAAATTTGGTATGATGATAGCTGGTTATCCGGGTCAACATACGGGATACTTTTTACCGCGGGAAAATATCTCATTTCTAAGAAAAAATACAAAAACTGCATTGTAAGAGTATACTAATATGTAAAGCCTAATAATTTGGTATTTGATCATCTGAACGTGGGCGGAGCCGCGGGCAATGCTAGCTTATTAATAAATATATTAAATTTGTAGAATCTCAATAATTAAGCGATAACCCAATGAGAAATTGCCACAATTTAAGCAAAACTTAATTACTACACTTCTTATCTTAATTAGAATTATTAAATAAGCTTTTAATAAAAAATATTAATTGACGTTGTTGTTCAGAAAAAATATTATATGCCAATTAAAATTCCAAAATTTATTCATGTACAGTTAATGAAAAAAAGAGGATAAACATATTATGTTAATTACATGAAATACATTAAATATTAAAAAAATATTATCGTCCGTCTTCTCTTTTGGAATCTTTTCTTTAGCACTTCTTGCGTTTTCCTGGGAGATAAGGGACTATCTTAAGTTGCCTTAAAAAGATGCCTTAAAAAGTAATATTTCTGAAATTTATATAATTATCCACTAAAAAATTTTCGTAAAAGGTATTATAAATTATAATTTATGTTACAGGCCTACATATTGGCTGATGGCCGATGTATTTATCAAGGTGATACAGACGCGATGGTTCCCTTTTTAAGCACCGTCGGTTTGACGTGTCCGCGCCATCACAACCCTGCAGATTTTAGTAAGTTATAAGCTGTATAGTTGTCTAAATTTCGCTTGCTATACTTACGATCAGATAAAGTAGCCTATGTCACTGCCATCTGAGTTGCCCATCCTACAGTGAATCTATTTAAAATCAATAGAGGTGACCTTCTTTTATCTTTTGTTTTTCGGAATAAATGTAAAGTACGTACTCTCTTCTAAATGCTCTATATAATGCAGTAAAAATCGGTCAAGCCAAGATATATAATATATTTTTTATTTCTTATTTGGGCGTCATCACGTTGTTATAGGGCAAGTAGTCTATATATGAGCTCAATATGTTGTTGTGACATTAAAGATGCTCAATTTAATTTTTTTCATAAATAGGTGATAATGATTTATTTGATTACTATAATAGATAGACCAATCGGAATCCGTTTATTTTTAAGAGAAAAAAAAAAATTAAAAAACCTGAAGTTTTATGATTTTAAAATGTTAGCAGGTATATAAGGAATAGAAATTCGTAAAATGCCCCTGATGCCCAGCTACCCCCGAGAAATGGGGGGACGCAATGCGTTGAAAAATAGTTTTTTTCAATTTTCGGCTTACTGTGACGTACTATCGAAAAATGTTTTCGACAAAAGTTGTAGGCCTAGTAAAAATCTACAACTTTTATCAATAACACTTTTTACAATAACCTCAAAGTTTTCAAGACATTTCCAGAAAATTCAGTTTTTAAATTTTTCTTGGTTTTTTATGTTTAATTTTTAGAATAATCTTTTAATTTTCATGAAACTAAGGAAATATAATCTTCGAAATAAGTCCTAGAAAAGTATGTTTTATGGTCTCGAGTGGCTGGAAATTGAAAAACAAAAAAACTATTTTTCAACGCTTTGCGTCCCCTCATTTCTCGAGGGTAGCTGGGCATGTCGGGCAGTTTACGAATTTCTATTCCTTATATACGTTATTTTTTTTTAACGTTGGGAAATGCATTTACGCACGAGGTGTGGGACTCACCGGCAAAGCCAGTACTACCCACTAAAACCCAACAAAACCTTCCCCCGTCTTAATGGGGCGTCGCAGGATCGCTAACGCATTCAACTACGACGCCCCGACGGCAGGTCTGCCGAAGCAGACCACAACAACCACGGGGTTGCTCCACAGTCCACTCTGCTATCAGAGAAGTACCAGGAGCAACCCGCATGGTACACTGCCCTCCGAAGAGGGCCACCTCCTAGCGCCCACCGAAGTGGGCCACCTCCCTGTGCGTTTCTTGGCTTCGCGCCCGGTTGGGTTGCCGGGCACTACTGAGCCCCCCACCACGACAAGGTGAACGCACGTTGGGGGGGATTCCTTATATACCTGCTAACATTTTAAGATCATAAAACTTCAGGTTTTCAATATTTTGTTCCCAAACTGAACTCCGATTGGACTATAAATACTCACTCTATAATATTTTACAAGTGGAATTAACGGTTTGTCTTACATTTTAATCATTTTATGTTAGATGTTAAATATTAATAAGGTAAGAATTCATTTTATTACTAAAACTTATAAATTTAATGTCTTGACCTTGATATTATATTAATGCCATTGTCAACTAAATTAATAGTCATTTGCGATTGTTTTAACATCTAGACGGAGCCGTGTAAGTGATAATTGTATGGCAGCGAAAGTTTGTTCGTTCTACTTTCACGACCCGCTTTAAAAAAAACTTATTTCAATAAAGAGCTTAACATAAATATAATGGTTAAAACATTTTTGCATCTATATAGTATATGTACGTAATACATATAGAGTCTTTTTTTTATGTGGCATACGTTATATTTTCGAACGGTTCAAGAGTTTCTCATGGTGGTCTAGTCTGATAAGAAAACTTAGATAGATACTTAATTACTGTTAGGATCTAGTTACAAATATTTAAATTTATATCCGACCTCAAAAAAAGGTTATTTGTCACTTATGTATGTTGTACGTAATAAAATAAATTTAATAATAATAATAATATTAATAATTTTGTAATTACTACTTATTACAAAACTATTTCAGTTTTTACTTAAAACTAAAAATTACAAAAAAGAGTTAATATAAAAAATTTTAAATCGATTTCAAAAATCTACTAAGAAGTTAAAAATAACTGAACGGGGGTTTTCCTATACTATAGATACCTTATCAGATATTTTCGAAGTCGGTGAGAGACGACAATGCTTTAAGATATATTAAATAAGTAAATAACCTTGTTAAGGTATGAACTCTAATTATAGTTAAAATATTATACATCAAGAAGCGTATTTATACGTATCAAAATATATTCGCTTTGCTTTGCATCGGCTGGCATCGACTTTGAAAATATCTGATTAGGATTTAAGTATCTATAGTAAATGAAAACCCCTGTTCAGTCATTTTTTTACTTTCAGATTTTTTTGAAGTCCGTTTAATTTTTTTAAATTAGTTTTTACTCTTATCTAGTATACTGGGTATACGAACTTAAGTCAATAATATTTTTAGATAATATGTAGATATTTCCATCACAGCGCTTTATTTTAACTAGACTATTATAAGCGCCTTTGTATAATGCAAATATTTTGCCCGAATCAATTTTTTTATCTGTATAGTAATTATTATGTTATTTTCAGTAATCGAAATGACTGAGGATCCACAAAATATAAAGATGCTGTGCGATGAAATGTTAAATGGTAGAATCTATAAGTCAGCTAAAGTAGATTCCACGCCAATAGAACCTGTAAATAACTTGCAACTTAAGGTTTGTTACCAAATAGAAGACGAGTCTGGTGAAACTGAGATTGTATTATCAAATGAAAAATGTACATATACAGTAAAACAGTTAAATGAAGCAAGCAATTCTACGATATCCTTAAGTCAAATATCAAGAGACGATTCGTCTTTAGCTTGGATGAAAATGCAAAATACAACAAACCAGTACCCAACGACATATTTTGAGCAATTCAGAATACTTTTGTGCAGAATGTTGTTACAAATATCAAGAAATAGACAAGGTAAGGCGGCTAGTAACATTTTTGTTATGTACCAAATATATTTTTAATTTATTGCATATTGATATACATTTTTTCATAGAACACGATTTTCCTTTTTTAGGAAATATTTCATATTTTTATATTTGAAAAAAAAATATTTCACCCAAACAAGAATCGAACCAGTTAATTATACTTTTCTTAGTACCTTTCATCACTACCACAGATGATAGCCGGCGTAAGATAAAATTGTAACGATTTGCAGTTATTTACTTGCCCCAATGACCACGTCTTTGAGAGAATGTCGGGAAAAAAACAGTCTTTGTTATGTTATCCAGTGTTTGAATAGCACTGAACTACGGGTTAAAAATTTTGTAAGCAAATGCTCGTGCACAGTACATGTGACGTGCTACGAGTACATACATATATATGTAGTTCTATTTATATGTAAATTTTTTTACAATTGGACAACTGTTATACATAAGCATATATGCCAAAGTTTGTATGTGTGTGATTTGTATAATATTTAGTACTTAGATGTACTATGACCTGGAGTAACACATAGGCTACTCTTAGGTACCCAAACAAAGTGAGTGTAAGTCATCAGTATTAAAATAAATTGATAAATTAAAAAAATAAGGTTTAGACCCGTGGCGTTGCTTGGAAGATAAGCGGGACGTGGATAAAATATAACGTACGTCCATATATATCTGCAGGATGTTACTCATGTCCTTGCCATGAGATATAAAGCGTTTGTGTCTGTCATAACATATGTATAGTGCTTGTATTTATCATTTACATGATTCTATGTTCTTGACATAGTAAGAAAGTGAATTTATTAATAATTAGTACGGACTTGTATTATTACTAGCATTGCCCGCGGCTCCGCCCGCGTTCAGATGACCAAAAACCAAATTCTTAGGTTTTACATATAAGTATACTCTTACATTGCAGTTATTGTATTTGTTCTCAGAAATGAGATATTTTCCCGTGGTAAAAAGTGTATCGATAATAATGTTTTATTGTTTATTTCAATATGATTTTCCAAAAAAAATATTTAATGTACAGATTTGGCTTAGTTACAATTTTATTATATGTATATATATGTGTATTTATAAATTATAATAGATATTTTAGTTTATCTCCTTCATTCAACAATTTTGCAGAATTTCAAGACTTCTTACATTCAATTAATTACTTTTTGAAGTGAAAGTATTACTAGCGACTCATCTTCGCTTCGCTCGGGTTCGTCCCTATGTATAAATATAACATACTCGTATGTAATTTCACAATAATGTATGGAAGTTTGCCCGATTTGCTAACATTTATGATTTCTGTTCCGCTCTCTTGGGTAATAGCATCATGAATGCCTATATAGCCTTCCTCAATAAACGGGCTATCTAATGTAAAAAGAATATTTCAAATCGGATTAGTAGTTTAGCGTGTTCAAACAAACTGATATTAGCGTGTTCAAACAAACAAACAAACAAACTCTGTCTTTATAATATTAGTATACATAGATAAAGGTTCAATTTAACTAAAAATGCATTTGTTGGTTTCAAGAAAATATTATAATTATTAATGCAGTCGATAAATAAATTCTTTTAAGATTTTGTAATACAACAATTTATATGCAAGCCATTACGCTCGTTGAATTAATTCCGATGCTTGTGAATAAATCACAGCGGCACTTCGATATAGATCTTTCACAAACAATGCGTCATGTCCGCACAGTATACCTAGTGGTAAAGGCTTATTGTTTTAAAATCTTTGTGTATAATTTTTCTACTAATGTTTATTGATATATTAAAAATAGAATGTAGAAACCTCACCTTATTATACTTTCTTGGATTTACGCCAATATTTGACATTTATACATATAATAAAATTGTAACTAAGCCGAATCTGTACATTAAATATTTTAAGCAAAATCTTATTGAAATAAATATTATTATCGATACAGAGGCCGAATCTATAGTTTTTAGGATGTTTTGTCTGTCTGTTACCGTATCACAGAAAAACCACTGGAGGGATTTTGATGAAATTTGGTCTTTGTTGAAATTTGGACTATTTACCGCGGGAAAATGTCTCATTTCTGAGAAAAAATAAAAAACTGCAATGTAAGCATATACTAATATGTAAAAACTAAGAATTTGGTTTTTGGTCATCTGAACGCGGGCGGAGTCGCGGGCAACGCTAGTTTAAAATAAAACTATCTTATCGGAGGCGAGAGAGTCTCCCGTGACTATGATTACTGTATCAACTTGTAAAGCATTCGAAACGTCGGGATCCAAAAATAAAAAAAAGCAAAATCACCCGAAAAATGTTTTATTCAAAATCTTACCTTACAGCCATTATTATTATATAACTTTCAACTAACTTTTCAATTAACATTATCCCATTTTTAAGAATCTCGACTCAGGAGAAATATAAATTCCGTTTAGTACATTTTAAGTAAATTCTTACTCTATATTTTAATATTCACTCTATAATATTACTCGTTGTCAGCGGTTCAGCTCGCGTGGTGGGCAAATAAATTGTTAAAATTGGCATATATATACTCGTATTATAAAATACGGGTTTATCTGTCTGAACGCGATAAACTCAAAAATTATCAAACGGATTTTCATAAGGTTTTCACCAATAGACGGAGTGATTCTTGAGGAAGGTTTAGGTGTATAATTTATTCAGGGTTTGTGTAAATTGACGGAAATATGACGATGATTATTGAAGATGTCGGCAAAATCATGTCGACATACATGAAAATAATGTATTACAGAATGATTTCTTTAAAAAAAATCTGAAAAACTGAAGCAACGTTATATGAACGTACTCAGGGACGCACCCGAGCGAAGCGAGTAAGTCACTAGTGTTTTAATAACGGATACAAGTCAACTACGAGTAGGTTGACTCGATTATGTTTCGAATTTCATTGATTTCTGGTGATACAGATTGAAGAAGTAACACATATTCATTCACATAGAAACTTTCACATTAATAATATAAACGTGATTATAAATGCGGAACGGCATTTGTACATACATTTGTTTTGTTTCACGCAATAACAAAACAGCATTATTTGCATATTATAATGGGGCGATTAAGCTTCGCTTTGGTGCGTCTTTACGTGCTGAAAAGTAGCCTCTCTGTTGAAAAACTCCAATAGGATCCCATCAAAAGCGACAAAAGCCACATAGAAACCAATTAATATGTATTGGTTTCTATGTGGCTTTTGTCGCTTTTGGTGGGATCCTATTGGAGTTTTTAAATAGGGCTATATTGTGTTAAGTCCAGGTTATAGTCTATTTGCGTACTTTTCACCCAAAGCCGTTCAAGCGTTTACAGCATAAGTAACAAACATATACACACTTACAAATATATAACTACCTATCTCATTATTGTAGTCTTAATATATAGCACGTACCTATGTAGTTAAAGCAAATCAAATAAGCCCAAATGAATGAACTTGAAGGGGCTTATTTGTAGCTATTGAAGAAATTTCTGCTTGTAACATCAAGCACCAGCATATGATTGTACTGTCATCTATACATATAATAAAATTGTAACTAAGCCGAATCTGTACAGTAAATATTTTTTGGAAAATCTTATTAACATAAACATTATTATCAATATAGAGGCCGAATCTATAGTTCTTAGAATTTTCGTCTGTCTGTTACCGCATCACACAAAAACCACTGGAGGGATTTTGATGTGGTATGGTGATAGCTGGTTATCCGGGATATAGGATACTTTTTACCGCGGGAAAATGTCTTATTTCTGAGAAAAAATACAAAAACTGTAATGTAAGAGTATACTAATACGTAAAACCAAAGAATTTGGTTTTCGGTCATCTGAACGCCAAATCTGAACCTATTATTATATTTTTTTCTGATTTCTCGAAAACGTCATAGTCTGTCTAATGTCAACGAAACTTATGTTAGAAAATTATAAAGAATACAATGTAAATTAGCGAGATCGAGTTATCTCAAAGATATCGGGACAAAAAACGATAAAAAGTTGTATTGACCTATTGTTTCAAGTTCACTATAGTATAAAATTAGTATTAAATATCAAAGTTATCTACATATATGTATCTATCTATACATATAATAAAATTCTAACTGAGTCGAGTCGAATTAAATAAAGAAACAGACACGTAGTCTGACATTGAGACACTACTACATATGGACTCATTAAATATTACTGCTTTTGGTTTTTGTATAAAATATTCGCTGACTTTTTAGTATCTATGTATTTTATTTATAGTATTATGACTTTTTTGTGCATATCTGAATTAAATATTTTACAACTAAACTCGGTGTAAGTATGAACGACAAGATTTACTATTATTATTTAACGCAATTGTTGTAAGCATGTCTGTAATAGTGTAAGTCCGTTTCTATTTTTGGAAGTAGGTACTAAATATATATGATTTGTATTTTGTACAACAGGTACCATTATTTCGGACATTAAAAATTATTTTCTTTGATAATTTTGTTTGGATGCGAAAATTACTTAATGAAAATAAACAATAACAATAAATAAAAAGAAATCTTTACATAGTACATATAAAACGAAGTAGCTTCCGGTGTCTGTTCGCTTAAATCTTAGAAACTACTCAACGGATTTTAATGCAGTTTTCAGCAATAGATAGAGTGATTCAAGAGGAAGGTTTATATAAAAAATACATGTATATTATAGTACAGAAAAGCCGAGAAATTCAAAGATTTGTATTTCATACTAACCGTTAAAACGTTATCTTAGGCTGATAGTGGAATTCTTAAGGGGGCACCGAGCTTTTTATTTTAGTAGGGTGACAGCGGGCTGGGGGGGGGGGGGAGTTGGGCTACGATGGACGGAACGCGAATTGAGGTATTTCCTTCGTATTATTAAAACAAATACACATTTTGAAAATGTCACGTGTATACGATATAGAAAACGTATAGTTTTGTTATTATTAAAAACTGATGAAATTTCTTGAATTATTTACGCCACACTAAGGGTTATTTATATTTTGTTTTTTTAGAGATTATTTTGAAATTTTTTCTATCGAGGAAACTATAAGTAATCGTGTTTCTAAAGTGTACGATTTATAGAATAAATCCTTAAATATCCTACATATTCATTGCATAAATAAAGTTTTAGCAATAACAATACAGCAAGGGATCAAACGAACGCAATTATTTCGTAATTGCCTCGGTGCTCCCTTAACAATAAAAAGTAAATAGATAATCATCACAAATTTAACTTGGCGGCTATGCCTCCATCGACCTCATATCGAGAGTCCGAATAATTGTATTCCAATTGGGCAAACTAAATCGATTAATTATATCATTCATGAAACATCATCATTTAGCATGTGTAAAAAATATTAATTTTAAATATTGCCATGTTTCTTTTCCAGGACTATGGATTCAAACAATACACCACTTGATGTGCTCAGTTCTTATAGGGTTATGCTTCTTCGGTACGGCTAATGATGGCACCCAAATGTTCAACCATTTGAAATTTTGTGTGGGCCTAGTTATATTCTTCTCATACACGCAGATAATGGTGCCAGTGTTAGTATGTAAGTGGATAAATCAAGTTAAATTACTCTAAGTTATACAATATGTTACATGTTGAGGCGGTGGTAGCCCAGTGGTAACGCGCTCGCTTGGGAAACCGAGTGAAGCGGGTTCAAATCCCGGATCTCGCACCTCTGATATTTTCATGCGCGAATCATTTCCAACATGATTACCACTTGTCTTAACGGTGAAGGAAAACATCGTGAGGAAACCTGCATGTCTGAGAGAACCTAGCAAGTTTTCAAATGACATGTGAAGTCCGCCAACCCGCACTTGGCCAGCGTGGTGGACTATGGCCTGATCCCCCTCGTACTGAAGGGAGGCCCGTGCCCAGCAGTGGGACGTTAAAAAAGGGCTGAATATATACATGTTACAGGCTACAATAATATGTTTACCCCCATACACTGTAGACGTCCTAAGCAAGTAGGTGTATAGAATGGCGTAATTAGAAGAATTTTGTTAGACTACCATTGGTCAAGAGAAAATCTGAACACTCTCTTGCCGTCTTCTCAAGTGTTGTATAAAAATGTTCTTAAGGCAAGGTTGTTCGATAGAGTTAGTGACAGGTGTTCATATTACTATTGTAGTTGGTTATATCAAAGTATTTTACAATGACAGAGAAGTTATCGATTTACTTTATTACATTTCGCTTATTTTTAGGCAACGACTTCCTGATTTTGATAAATACTATGGGATATTTGCCAATACAAGCATTTGAGTCTGACATGGAATTGAACCTGCGCCGTTTATTTTAGTTGGCAAACGATGAATATGACGTTTATATTTACATTTGATGAACATTATAAATTTATTAGAGCAATTAGACAAAATAAATAGATACTAATCTATATCTATACTAATATTATAAACTGGTATAGTTTGTGAATTGTGACTTTGTGACGTTGTAGGGGGTAATCTCTGGATTTACTGAACCGATTTAGGTGAAATTTGATAAGAAGATAGTTTGAGATCCTGGGAATGACATTGGATACTTTTTATCCTGGAAATCATCCCTCAAGGGAGTGAAAATGGGGATGAAAGTTTGTATGGGGAATCAACCTAGGGACAAACCCGAGCGAAGCGAGGGCGAGTCGCTAGTTATTTTATAAAAGAGGTCAGTAGAGACTGTGGAGTAAAAACCTTATTTGTTTGTACATATTATGTTGTATATTACATCAAGGTCGGAATAATACATTATATTTAAATAATGCTATTGTTTATATGCAATACTTTACACAAAAGCTAATTTATCAATTTAACACATATGACTTGAATAATAATATTTCATTTGTTTTATTCCACAATAAACTTATTATATACAAGGCAGTTTCCACTAAATGACTCGGAACTTATAAAGATATAAACATATTAATATTTGTTGTGTCATTACGTACTATTAAAACAATGTTTAATTACTTGCTTCATAAAATGACATATTTTATTACAAATCACTAAAGGCAGACAGCAGACTTTTTATGATAAATATGATATGAAGAAACATGAATAACAAATTAATTTTCAGTAAAAACTTAATGACAAATCTCATTAAATGCAGAGTTTTTTTATAAGTTTTTTCTATAGATTTGATATAATGTATAGAAACGAAGCCACATGCTATTACGTACGTTACGTACAATAAGCTACGATAATGGTTTTAGTGTGGACTGTTGAGAGAGATTAGTAGGTACTGTTTATTATGGACATAACTTGTTGGCTATAGTTTCTGAGGTGGTGGGTTCGAGTCCCGAGTTGGACGAAGTTGTTGGTCCTGAGCTTATTTCTGTTTAGCCATGACGAAGTCATCATATCGGAAAATGAGAGTGAAAGAGATAGAAAATTCATCTGTATTTGCGCACACGCTTGTGTTGTGTAGGATGACTTTATAATGTTGTTTGTTGTTTTACTACATTGTATGTGCAGTGTTCATATGGACATTTTAATAATTTGGTATTATTTTTTAATTTCCAGATCCGCAAGAAGTGAAACTAGTTAAAAAAGAGCATTTTAATAGTTGGTACAGTTTGTTCCCGTATTATGCTGCGCTAACAGTGTCAAAGTTGCCAGTACAAATATCGCTGAATTTATTATTTTGTACCATTGTCTTCTTTATGGTCGGAGTTCCGTTCAGTGTTGCCAGGTTCATGGTATTCTGTATAGTTGGCAACCTTGTGTCTCTAGTCTCTGAGGGCATTGGTATGGCGATTGGATCTGTTTTCAGCGTGAGGGTATGTATTATTATGTATCTGTTGACTTTAAAATCATTAAAAAACATTATTATTCACACTGTGAATAAAAGCAGAAAAAATACAAAAACAAAAAACGGCGGTCTAAAAAGCGAACTAATACTTTACGTTTCATACGTTTGACTCAGTTTGTAGTGACCCTACTTGCTGTGCCAGCGGTCGCGGGTTCGAGTCCCGCTGGGGGCATTCATTTGTGTGATAAGCATAAATGTTTGTACGTACCAGTCATGGGTACGTACAAACATTTATGCTTATCACACAATATAACACGTATTTAAAGTTATATATGTGTAGTGTATCAACTATCTGATATCCATAACACATGCCTCGTAGCGTACCATGGAACTAGATGATGCTATATGTTAATGTCCCAACATATTATATAAATAACAAATAAAAATGCATACTCTGAATGCCTCTGGAAAACGTAATCGTGCGGGGAGTGCCACCTCCCAGTGCGTTTTTCGTTGTCGTCCGTTGAATTGCGGATGCTAATGAGCCACCCTCCCGCCTCCCTCGACAAAGTAAATGTACTTTGGGGGAGGTGACGGGTATTATCTACAGTATCTTGCCACGAGTTGGCACTGAAATAAAAATTGGTATTTTATTAACCCTTGTATTTGGCAGCCTTTCTGTTCGAAATATGAAAAATCAATAGGAGATCGCCTACTATGTGTATTTTTATATTGTTGTATTATGCCGTCGGAGACTTATGTACAAATTTCTTAACTTGTTGCAAATTTTGTATAGCTGTGTGTTTGTTTGTGCATGGGTGTTATTCTCCCTGCTGAATGGATGGACGGATTTGTATGAAATTTAGTATACATAGATTGACTCGTCTACCTATGTAATTAGTAACTACTGATTGGCACCTAAAAATTCATCCGAGCGAAGCGGGGGTAAATATAATAAACGTAAAACATTTTCATAACAAGTTACTTGTTCACACTGTAGCGGCTGCCTGGGTTAAATCAGAATGGAGCGTAAGCTAAACTCTGGACTCAGATTAAGGAATAATATTCTGTAGTCGGAGATTCTTATTTCTGGATGAACAAATAGGTTATATTTTATCAACGTACGCACCACGCGAGCGTAACTACGGTTTAAAACTAGTGTAAAACATATTATCTTTCTATTTCAGAATGGATGCGCCATTGGTCCGGCAGCTATCGCACCTTTCCTTGGTCTCGCGATATACGGCTTCGATTTCGCGCATAAAATTCCTCTACTCATGAACATTCTTATGAAAACTTCTTTCATCAGATGTGGTGTAGTGGCTATGGTCTTAACTGTATTTGGCTTCGGAAGAAAACCTTTAGAATGCGATGACGTTTACTGCCATTTTGCAAAACCAGATGTCCTTCTAAAGTATTTGGATATTGAAAACAGTTCGGTGTGGTTGGAAATAGCAATAATGTTTGGTATCATGGTCTCCTTCAGATTCCTTTGCTATATGGGGTTAAGACATAGATTTGCCACGTGATGAGCCTGTTTTTTGTAATATTTGATTAGATACAAGTACAAATTGCTGTATGTGATAATTTTCAAGACATTCGGTTTTAGCATTATATTTATATCCAAAGAAACATTTTCCTTAAGATTTTATGTACACCATGAAGCATATATAAAGTAGAATGCCGTATTCTGCTATTTGCCTCTATCTATGCCTCACTCTTTCAATTCAGAGTCGCGTTTTTCCAAATACCTTATGTTGCCATTTTGTACCTTTGCATGCCAGCGCGACTGGTGGCTAAAAAATAACTATAAAATTGTACGGAACTTCGTGTTTAACACCTCCAGGTAAATTTCTAAGAAATCTATTGTTAACTGACACGCCGGACATTCGCCATATTTAATTTTTGCTATGGAACAGTAAAAAGTAATAGACTGAACAAACCACGCCCACTTCGATGATGTCAATGCTTGGTACATGGACATACTTGTATGACATAAATATAGTTGATTAGGCTCTTTGTATATGTTTCAAGCAAAACTAAATACTTATTCCATATACCTATGGTGTTTATGGAAGGTAAAGGTTGTCCATACATTATTATAGCTTTGCCCATTGAGTATCCTTAGTTAGTTTAGTTAGTTGCGAGGTTTTTTCCATTAGTTTTATACTATTTAGGATGGGAAAATATATTTATTATTATAATAATATATTACGCAAGACGTTTTACTTTTGACGTTTTATATCTATACATATTTTTTGTATTATATCATCTGTGGTAACATATGTATTACAATAATGCATACAAGTCGTATATGTAATATTATATTGCAATTATTACTCTATAGTCCTTGACAACTACATAAATAAAGTTTGTAATAAGATTTGCAATTTATTTATATTGTAAGAGCATATTATAAATATTGTTGTCATTTTATATCCATATGTCTTATTTACCACAAAAATATGACATAATTGCGAATAAATCAATTTTAGATAAATAATATATTTTTACAAAAGTTTCGAATGTTTTTGCAAGCAATAGAGATAAGTTGTATATAAATATTTAAATATAAAGGTATGTATAGGTATGTAAGATTTTCTACTTTTATAAATAAAAGACGAAAGTGATATGAAAAAGTTTTATTAAAAACCTGTACATTTCTACAAAAAGATTGAATAAAGGATGTTTTTAAAAATAATAAAAATAATGGGGCATTATAAATTACGTGAGCTCAAAATGGGGGGTTCCAGTAAAACCTCATTTAAACTGAGGGCATAATTGAAAATTTCACGTCAACTTTAAAAGAACATACATTATAGTAAATATTTTTTTTATTTCATTTCTTTTTTAAAAGTGTCCTATTTTGCGCGCTGAAAAGATTTCATGACTATTATAAATACATTTTTTTTTTCAGAGTAGGTACACTAAATTTTACTTAATGTCACCAAAGGGGAGGAGTTTAAATCAAAAGGAAAACAGCGCATGTAATTAATTGATATCCTCTCACCTAATATTTTTTTCTATTCATATAGAAATATAGGGGCATATTTTTACATAACGAAATAGATAAAAAATAATTTAAACTAAAGTATTACCGAAAAATAAGTAGGTTTTGATATAGTATATGTGTAGCTATTTAATATTATTTTCTTATTCTAAATAATAATATTATTACATACTATGTTCTCTACATTTATAAAAGTTTCATGTTGAAAATATATTATTTCTTAACAGTACCTTTGTCACGTCTCTTTTTTATGTGTTTCTTTATTTTAGTTTTTCTCCTCTCAGCTTTCTCTTCTTTAACAGCCTTCTTTCGCGCCTTTTTACTATTCGGTGATTCATCTCTTGGCCGAGCACTGTTTTTGAACTTGCCTTCTGAAGTATTTTTAGATTGTTTAAATTTTAATTTAGTCAAAATAATCCGTATTATCCGTATTAATATTATAAATCAGTATTATATATTATTATAAATGTGAAAGTTTGTGAGTATGTATGGATGTTTGTTACTCTTTCACGTCAGAACGGCTGGACGGATCTGGATGAAATTTAGCACAGAGATAGATTATATGCCTGGAATACACATAGGCTACTTTTTATCCCGGAAAAATGTCGGGTTCTGAGCGAAGCAAGGCTGAGTCGCTAGTAAATAATAAACAAACAATATTTAAAGTAATATGTGTAAATTACAATTAAAAATATTTTCTTTTTTTAAAGTGAAAAACAATTAATACGGTTTTAGATTAGAGTCGAAAGTAAATATTTAGCAATAGGGTTTTGTCTCATATATTGAGATATCCTCTTTCTCATCTCACACTTTAATACTGTCTGTATTTTAATTTATAAACTACCTTTATGGTTATGGGTATTTTTGAAATGTTTATATATATTTTAATATTTGACTTTTTTTTTACTCTTATAAACGTTATTTACAAAAAAGAAAATTACAAATATACTTAATTATATATACAAAACATATGTACACTTAGTTATTATATATTATTACATCTATTACATTAGGGTCATTGGTATGATTGAAATCTAAAGACATGTAACTTCTTATGATAAATAAAAATGTTAAAATTGGGCAAGCGAGAGTCAGACTTATTACGAATTTTAATAATTATATATAGAAGCAAAAAAAAAAAAAATTGACAACGTCAAACCAAAATTTATAGTGTGATTAAAATTTATTTTAAAATATATACGAAAATAACATTAAACTTTAATTAACAGTATAAAAATTGTTTTAAAAGACAAAAATATCGAAAGTGTACCATATTACAAGATATAATCAGAGATATATATAAGAGACATATCATAAGACATATTCCGCGATAAACAATAGCATTCCCAAGGAGGGTTGACGTCAGGCAGGCGGCCGGTCGTAAAACTTTTGCCAAATCCTTTCAGCAGTACAGAGGATGTACTGCGCCGACCCCAAGTAATTGGGAAATGGGCAGGGAGAAGAAGAAGATATATAGAAGCATTAATTATTGCCTTGAATAAAAAAGTCATTTGGGAAAAATCTATTTTAATGTTTAATGACCTTTCCAGTTTGACTCAATTATTTTCATTTTAAAGAACTGGCATGAAGGATAAGCGAAGCTGACTAGTAATATAATAGAAGTTGTGACAGTTTTAAGAATTTATGTCTGTATGCGTCACTGAAGTAGAAGGTTTTCTAGTCAGAATTAAATACAATTTTAATGGTCATGAGAGTAAATAGTATGAAAATATTTGATTTTATCACCAGAAATTTTAATAAGTAACATTATTTTTGGCTACAGTCTCAAATATATACATGTTTGTTTCTTAGTAAAACAATGATAAATCCAAATGCATAGTTCTTTGTTAAATGATAAATAAACAACAATTCTGAACATATATATATATATATATATATATATATATATATATATAATTCTTCTGTACGTGTGTTTGTTAACCTACTCCTAAAGGATTGGACTGATAAGGATGAAATTTTGTGTGTATATTTCAATGGGTTCCTGGATGGTTTGAAAATACAAATGGTCGGTGGCGCTGGAATCGGTGTGCCACTGATCATGGCCTAAACGGCAGGGACGATTTTAATGATATTTTTTGTGTGTGTTTTAATACTGCTAGTTTTTTATAAAAATCTTATGTAAAAGATTTTCTTTTAAAATGAGCAATAACAAAAATGCCAATTATTTTAAAGGGTGCATTTACTTTTATTTGAAGTTATGCAATAGATATGTACTTACTACTTTCATCGCCTTCATCTTCATCAGAAGAACTTTCAGAGACAGATTCAGATATTTTATCTTCTTGTAGGATTTCTGGTTTATCCACAGTGGCTGTGAGATCTTCATTGAAACCTGCTATTTTTTTGTATGCAAGGTCTGCAGTTTCACCTTTCTTTGCTTTGGTGATATCGCGCTCATAGTTTATTACCTGGAATTGTTTTTAAAGTTAGAGATAAATTTAACAGTATTGAGTGGTATAAATATACAATAATAATAAAAGTTTAGTAAATAAGTAGAAGTGTTTTTAAGATAAAGAAAAGAAAGCTGGAATACTTTGGCCACATATGAGAAACAAAGTATGTATTGCTGCAACTCAAAATACATGGCAAAATACAATTAAACATAGACCGGGTGCTTCAAAAGATACCACCTTAAGAAGAAGAATAATCATATCAAAATTATAATTATATTATAACAGATTCTAAATATTTTAGATTTTTTAGTTTTAGTACACAGCAGTAAGCAGGTATAAAATAAATGCTTATATACTTTTATGCTACCATTTTGACACAACTATAGAAATGTATATTAATATTCCAGTGTTTTGAACTTAAATATTTTTTTAAATCTTTTCAATCAATCATTAAGCTTAAAAATGAATAACTAAAATACATACTTCTGTTAACCTTTTAGGAATGTAAATGTTCTTGAATGCTTCTTCCTCAATTTGTTCTTGAGCTGTCATTTCGTCAAAATTCCTAGATGAAGCTTTCTCTGACAGCTTTTCAAGGCAATCTTCTAAATTCTTTTCATTTATTGATGAATCTGTTATAAAATCAAACAACTCTTTCACAGTTAATGTTGCAACACCTTTTTTCCTAAAGAAGTCAGAAATATTTGTGCAGTCTTTTCGTAAGAACTCAAAAGCATGAGGATGGTCGTGTTCTACTGACTGTGATACATCAATGACAACTATATTGCCATTATGATATAGTAAATTAAATTCAGATAAATCGGCGTGCACTAATTTGCAAATGTTAAACATTTTCCACATCATGATAATACAATCTCTATACAAAGATCTAGCCGTTGATTGTGATATTTCTACATCTTTCAATTTAGGTGACGGCCAGCCATTTTCACCCATGAATGTCATGACTAATACATGACTTCTCAATATAATTGGTTCAGGAACACTTAACTGAGCATTATAAAGTCTGACAAGATTTCTCATTTCCTTTTCCGCCCAAGTTCTAACCATTTTTCGGGGATTTGACCTGCAGTAGCCATTTCTAAAACGATACTCTCCAGATACATATTTATCTCGGTCTTTAAACACTAATATTGATGTTTTAAAAATTTTAACAGCAAAATCCCTTCCATCTTTTGAAGTAGCATGATAAACGTTAGCTTCTTTGCCTGTGGAAATGCATCCATTTATTTCATTAATTATCCCTCTGTTTAAAAGTTTAAACAAGATCATTTTGGTTCTTGGATCCATAACTTGTTCAGCAGTAGCCCTGTCATGTTTGTCTTTGATTCTTATTCTCACATTATCAGATTTCCTATCATTCATTTCCATAAATTTTTGTGTATTCTCATTCATGACAGGTTCATATTTATCTACATTTATTTTATTTACATACTTTTTATATAGTTTTTCACTTGGTTGGTATGAGATAACTTTTGTCGTTGGATTTTGAGGATTGCTATGTTGTTTTTTCTTTGTATGAGTTTCTTCATCTGAATCATAAAAGTAGTCATCTGAGTCAAGATCATCACTACTTATTCTTTTTATTTCTGGATTCTCTGCAAACTAAAAGTAATGGTATTAGATAAGTAGATAGTAGATATATTTTACTCTCCCACAACAATGGGTTTTTAAAGTCGATATATATGTATCGACTACTTAAAAAAAATAAAAGTGCTTCCAAAAAGATGATATTTGTTACTTTTTTTAATAAGTATAACATGAAAAACTTACTCGAACTGATTTCACTTTTTTTGATATATCTTCCTCGTAATCACTAAACTGCCCGTCGTCCGACATTTTTGCAAAGATCCACAAATAATAACGAATTCTTTATTTTTTTACTTAATTAATAATGACTTCAATTATGTTTTTTTGTATTATTTACAAATTACAAAATAACCACACAAGCCGTAGTGTCACATCCACATGGCTTAAGGCTAAAATGACATTGACATTGACAATGACAGTAATGACACTCGTATGTCCGCTTTGCGTACGTTCAGAAACAAAAATGTAAATATTTCATAAGTTTAAACTCTAATACTTTTGTGTGCTACTATATCTATTAATATTAATATACAATTAATATACATATATATGTTAGTTTTAAGGTTTTTATTATGCTATGAGCCTTTGTTTACGCATTTAAGATCCTTATGTAAATATTGCCTGAAATAAATGATTAAATAAAAAAATAAATAAAAAATAAATATGTCACATACATAAGGCTTAGGTACATTTTTATGATACCAATTTTATTCTTATTATAAATGCTACATTGGATTTCTTATATTATCTTAATTTGTATTGTTTCTCAGATTTTTTTAAGTGGTTTAGGGTTTTCTACATTTATAAATTATCTATGTACATCATAATTAATATAATAAAAATGTAACTGATTGCGATCTGTACATGGGAGATATTTGAGAAAAACGATTATTGGGGGTCTTTATTGAACCAAAACAATGATTTTTAGAATTTTTGTCTGTTTGTTTTGTCTGTGCCTTTGTGCGCGCTAATCTGAGAAACAGCTTAACCGTTTTGGGTGCGGTTTTCACTAACGTATTATTATCACTTAACATTTAGTATTTGTTATATTTCAATCGGTTCATAAATAAAAAAGTAATGTCAATTTAAATAATGAGGTAGAGACGAACCTGAGCAAAGCGAGGGACTCACCCGCTAGTATATTATGTTTGCCATTTTGTGTACATAAATTATATCAATAAATTCCTGTAGGCCTTGCTATAACTGCTGATTAGTCGTGATGTGTAAGCAAATTCATAGAGAAATTAAAGAAAAACAAATTATAATATTATAATATTATAATTATTATTAGGTACCTACCTACACCTATTATTTAGAAATACGTTTTATTTTATGTACCATCAGCATGATCTGAAAGCGTAGGTACCTACTAGTTTTTGTAAGAATAAATATGATCAATATTAGAATTCAAATAAATTATGTAATGTAAAGGCTACCTATATAGTCTATCTATCTATCCACCATAAATCATAATAAAGCAGTAACTTAACGAAATCTGTACATGAAATATTTATTTAAAAAGAATGACTGTAATTTATTATGTACACAATAAAGACCCCAAAACAATAGTTACTAAAATCTTTGTTTGTTTGTCTGTATGTCGATTTGTCTGTGTGTGTGAAGTGATAACTTATTACTTGGGTCAACATTTAGGATACCTTTTACTTCAGGAAAAAATCTCATTCCCACGGGAAAACACAATAACTGGTTCTATCGAGTCGTCCTTAGAAATTTATATGGCTAATGTTGGCTAAGCCTTAAAAGTCACATCAAAACAATGTATTAGAAAATTGTAGGTCTTAAAAAGGTCTACAGAAAAGTCGACAATAATATATTAAGTCTATCACCTAAAGTGCTCTAGCAATAACTATTTTTATTATATACCTATTAAAGGTAATGTCGTAACTCACTGACTGACTTACTTCAATCAACAATACTACTAGATAACGTATCATACAAAATCAAAGCAAAATTGTGTCCGCGCGAATATGTACTTATATTGCTACATTTGTATACTAACGAACGAAGACAAAGTCTTATAATAGTTTTATTTTCAACCTAATCAACACCATAGCACCTTGCAATATAGTCACAAATCTTCAAATTATTATCATACACTTAAGATCATTTCGTAAGTTTTATAATATTTATTGTAAAACAACCTTATATTACAAACCATAAAGTACTTTTTCCCGTGGTTGCTCTGTGAGCTAAATCGTTATGTTTTGTTTCTGTTTGCTTCTTTGAATTTCGTCAAACGTTCTTAGCGGATTTAAAATTGTTCAAAATTTCATTTTTATGTTATTTCGTAGGTTAAATCTTAAAATATTGACTAAATCTACATGTATTTACCGAAAATAAGACATTCCGTCCGAAAAATTTCTTCTTCGCGCATAATTTTTGCAACTTTTAAATACACATTGCAGTATTGTGAACGTGTTTACGCTTGCAGTGTTTCAATAGAACTAATCGAAATATACGCTCACTTTGCAAGTGAGCTTATATTTACCGAGACGGATTTCTTACGCCGACCCGATATCTAGTAGTATTATTGATCGAAGCTGACTTATTAACGTTCAGCCCAAGCTGATGATAATACACCGGCACTAGAAAAAAAGCCAACATTATAATATATCCATATTAATGTTAAATATGAATCGTTAGTAATATCATAAGTTTGCTTGAACCACTATAAACTAATTTTCATGCGTTATATTTGCTCAGACACGATACCTACACTTGAAAAGAGACCTTGACAATGAATTTGTCTAATGAAAGAGAGTTGCAATAGCTAATAACATAAATATAGAGAATTAAAAGGGGCCGCTTGATTGAGGAATCAACCAATTCAATGTAAATTGAAAAAGTGACCAACGCTTTGTTATACTTATAAATATTATTTATATATTAATAAAAATTATAAATTGTATGACGCAAAGGATATTTCATTTGGGAATTTACTAAAGTAATTTATTAAATTTCTTCATCCGAGTTGGAATTACAACTACCACACTAACTAATTAATCTCCAAATTTCAAAAAATACCTACTGATGAATGGTCATGGGTCAGATGATATTAGTCAAAATAAGTTGTAATGATTGATGTGGCCTAACAAAACAATATATATATATATATATATATATATATATATATATATATATATATATATATATATATATATATATATATGTACATTTTAAGAGCAACTAGGAGGACAGAAGTGTCCTCTTACTCTTAAAATATAAATATAGAGAGGTGTTCGCATAAAAGTATTTATGAAACAAAACGCGGCTGTAAGCTGTGCACTACAAATATTTATCATTAAAAATAATGTCCTTTTGAGTAATTTTGGTCATGGCGGCCAATCTTACTGGTATAAGTCAACTGCACAAGTTTGTGCGCAAACTTTCTCTCTCTATTTCTTTCAGTTTCAAATTCCAATGAAACAATTTGATACCAGCTGTGAAAAATGTGACCGACGTCTTCAACCTGCTCATCGAAACACGGGGGTGTAATCTTCTAAACTTCTCCGAACTGAGAATTTCTTTACAAATAAGAAAAAAATAATAAAAACCGACTTCAAAACACTAAAAAGTAAAAAATAAGTGAATGGATATTTTAGTTTACTATAGATAACTAATCAGATATATCCAATTTGTGATGTAAGTTTTGCTTTGATTTGTATTGGCTGGCATCCACTTCGGAAGTACCTGAAAAGGTATCTATACTAAATGAAAATTCCTATGTAGTTATTTTTTACGTGTGAAGTCGGTTTTTTTAAAACTTTTTAATATTCCATTTAGGTATAGTGTAGACAACTACGTCTAAGTAGCAAAGAAGAAAGCATTTTAATATAATATTCGCTTAAGCCGTTTAAGTTAGTTTGATGCCAATTTTTATAAGAAGACTGATAAATTAAAATTCGCTTTTATTAGTAACACTATAAATCAGGCTCTAAAGTCCAATTCTATCGTATTGGGCTTGCCAAATCAAAGAAAATAAGCCCAAACTCAAAGTATCTACTGTTAGCCGTTGAAGAGTTCCACCTATCTACCTTCTGGCCTTACCATCAGATCAGCTCGACGATACCGAATAACCATACTATCAATGGAAATACAAACACTTGTAAAGTCAATATGACAATTAGAAATAGATTGAATTTACATTAGCTATTGTTCCACCCTTAGGGGTGGTATTTTTTACAAATTTAAACGGGACCAAACTCGAAATATATAATTTCAAACAAAAAAAGTGTTCTAAATCGGTTAATAAATGACGGAGTTTCGAGGTAACAAATATAAAAGAAAATGCAAATAGAGAACCTCTTCCTTTTTTGCAGTCGGTTGAAAATATCCAATAGTTATAGGTAATATATCTTTCGATCTTAGACTTGGACTTTTAACCGTTTAAGAATATTTACTTAGCAGAACATCTCTCACCTACCAGATAATAGGCAGATTGGCTACGTATGTCTGTATATCGTCCCGTTTCTGTGTAAACCTCGTATCTACAAAATCTTAATTTTCAGTAAATCGATAAAAACGTTTAGAGTTACTTAATTTTCATAAAAAGTTATAACTAATTTAAAATTTATACTCTTTATTTATCACCTTAAAATAATTAAACATCATTTTTGCTATCTGCATCGATACCTTGTTGTTATTATCAATTTAACGTAGATACGAGTTTTTTCATCAAATACCCTGGTAACTTTTTTGCAGATACGAGGTTTTGAAATTAATTTTTATTTTTTTTTCTATAAGATCATTGGCGAAAAATTTTTTTATGCAAGGCTTTCACATTCAATTCATTATTATTTTATATTTATTAATTAAAACAAATTAATTTGATTTTGATTTAATGTGTTATAAATCATATGATTACTATTTATAATATGATTTAATTATTTTTTTCAAATATGTTTACAATTTATTGAATAATGTACAAATTAACAGCAGGATAATCTGAAAAATAAGTAATAAGAAATAACTTGAACAATAATTTTATTTCTTATTTACTTGATGTGAAATAAAAATTCTATAAATGATTTTTATTTAAAAAAGAAATTTTAAGTATTTAAATAAATAATACTTACTTATGGTTTATATTAATACTTATATGTATTCATATGAATAAAAAATAAATGTCAATCAACAAAATACAGTCAACTTAAGTGTGAACATGTTTACAAACATTCAGTAATAAGACAACAACGCCATCTTAACGTTTTCAGCGATACTTACGGTAGATACGAGGTTTTTGAATTCGAACATGTAGATACGAGAAAAATCAAAAGCCTCTAAAAAAAAATCTATCAACATTATGAACATTGCATGTTTTGTTTTACGTTACAAGAGTGCTAAGGAGTGATTTTCGCTAAAAATCTCAATTTCGAAAAAAATGGAGTTACGAGGTTTACACAGAAAGGGGACGATATGTAACATTTTCCCGTTTTCCTGTACGGATTTTAAATAAATATGTTGTAATGATTCAGTGCTCTTTATTTAAATGGGTTTTATTCTTTTGTGGAAATAACCTCATTTGATTCATATATAAGGTACTTTTTTAATTAAGCTTACATAGAAATACAACAGGAAAGACTGATAGATTGGAAATTGGAATTGTAGTTACATAGTTTGATTACTATATACCTATAATATACTTGACTTTTATAAATGTTAATTTTTTATCGAAATTAACAGTTTTATAATCTAAATCTAAAGTATTATTATACCTATGCTATTTTGCAACTTTTTTTACTCAGGTGTAACTTCAGGACTTATGTAATATGTACATATTTAACTGGCTTCTGCTGTAATATTACAAGCGGTTTTTTTCTAGCAGTTTCCTTTAGATTTTATCACAAAAGGAACAAAGATGGAGTCATCAGGAATGCCTGATGATTCCATTTATGATGATTAGATTTTAAGGTACGGGAAACTTAAGCAGTATTTTTAAAAGTTAATATTTAGTTTTAGTTCTAATAAGCTTTTTAAATATATATATAATAAAATTCTAACTTAGCCGAATCTATACATTAATTTTTTTTTTGGAAAATTAAAAACTTATCGAAATAGTTATTATTATCGATACAAAGGCCAAATGTATAGTTTTTAGAGTTTTTGTCTGTCTGCCTGTCTGTCTGTGAACGCATCACGATAAAACCACTAGACAGATTTTGATGAAATTTGGTATGACGATAACTGGTTATCCGGGTCAACGTAAAGGATACTTTTTACTGTTGAAAAATATCTCATCTTAGAGATGCTAAACGTTTAAACGTACCTAACGGGGGACGAGCCCGAGCAGAGTGAGGGTGAGCCGCTAGTAAAAAATAAAAACTTGATCCAGCTTGTGATGAATAATGCGCACATGCACAGTCAGACAGACATATATACATTTTGTTTTTACAACTTTAATCAGATTATCTAATTTATTAAATATTCGTCGATGGTCGTTCTCATTGACTAGCCATGTAAAAAGGCTAAATTCGCACCATAGTACAACTAATTACTGACATTGAAGTGTCAAGGCAAAAAAGAAATATATCTGTATTTTAAGTGTTCCGGTTTTTGATAAAAACTATTTATAGAATACACATTAGGCTATACTTAGTCAAATATTATCCCCGGAAATATATTAGAAAATATTTTATTTAATATATTCAACAGAATAATTATTCTGCTGCTTATCAGAAAAAATAAATTAATCGTACAAAATATACCTAAATGATTTTTTTTAATATTCTAAATCGAATCAAAAACGTTATTATAAATTATTACAGCTTGTAATTAGTATTGTAATTTTCTTTTCTATAAAATTATTGCTCAAAGTTAACTTTTTGTCCAACAACCCTATTTCAAACGTACATTATTATATTTATTATTTGATTTGCTTGCAATTTACAGTAGTAACTAAAGCATAATAACCTTACAAAGTGAATTGATGCTGACGTAAAGTATTTAAGAAGGCTACCCGTTGAGAGACGGTTCAAAATCGCACCACTGATGGCAGCGGCCGCCCGCAACCGTGCAAATACGTAAAATAGCATAAAAATTTACCAAAAAAATCAATGGTAAAGTTTATTGTTGTTTAAGAAATAATAAAATAATGCCTGCCGATTCAAATATAATAGTAGCGGGAGGAGAGTGTGAAAACGTAAGTCTGTTTCAAAGTCTCTCGGAGAGATCGAAACATGAAGATTTTATACGTCGGGCGGTAGATTTGTTGGTGGAAAGAGTGGTTTTTGGTAGATCTTCGAGAAGTTCGAAAGTTGTGGAATGGGCGAGCCCTGAGGAAATTAAAAAATCTATAGATTTAAAACCTCGAAATGGGCCTGTATCGCACGAGGAGCTGTTGGCTTTCATGGCTGATGTAAGTAAAACCTATACATCTTTCAATTATTTTATAATGACAAATCTTTTCAAATATTGAAAAAATATAAAGAAATTTAATTTGTACTACTACTATTTAAATGTTAACAGTAGATGAGTCGTTATTGTCGTGTATACCTATATGTTTATCATCAATATATGATTATTGTCAAGCTTTCTATACAAAATATGATAGACGTTATAAAAGATAATTTAAAATTTTAGGTTGCCCGGTATTCCGTTAACACAGGACATCCATATTTCGTGAACCAGCTTTTCTCTTCTGTAGACCCTTACGGTCTGGTTGGTCAATGGCTGACAGATGCTCTCAATCCTAGTGTGTATACCTTCGAAGTAGCTCCAGTTTTTACTTTAATGGAAGAAGAGGTGCTTCGGGAAATGCGCGCTATCGTCGGATGGCACGGTGGTGAAGGCGATGGTATTTTTTGCCCAGGTGGATCTATTGCCAATGGATATGCGATAAGCTGCGCTCGGCACTATTTCTATCCTGAAACTAAGGTAAGTCTTAATATTAATAGTATATATTTATATGGAAATTATTCTTCCACCATTGTCAAATATTCACATGAACACGTAAAGTATATTCAAAGTGTCCTGTAGTTACAAACAAAATTAGTATTTTTTTACTTTTTTGTAACAGTAAAAAATATTGAATTTGAATTTGCTTTATTGAAATAAATGTATGTACCTAGTATTAAATCACTTTAGATAAAATACAAGGTTTTTGATGTCGTTATTTTTAACAATTATGCTTCGTTGCATAAATTAATTTAAACAGCATAAAGTTTTTATTAAAATAAGATTAAAACCACGAATTGTATTATAACGAGCATTCTATTGAGATACAATCATTACTAAAAAATGTGCAACAAGTAATTACGTTTGTCCTTCGCATACAGTTCATTATGGTCCGTCGAGTTTTTTATTCAGTTTATAAAGTAGGTACTAATTTTATTATGATGTTAATGTTTTATCTTAGATCCATCGATTGTTTTGAAGGAAGCATTCGGTGATCACCTTAACCCCGTTTTCTGGTTATTATTTTATCGCGTGCCATGCGAACCTTGGTAACCAATATGTCATTATAGAAAACTGACAAATAACGTGCAAAAAATGACATTTCTAATTAATAAAATGCCAAGATTATTTGTTAAAGAGTTTAGACTATTTTATAATACTTAACGGTAAATTGGCAGAATGGATTGCGTCTGTTAACGCAACTATAAACCATTATAGAAAAAAAAACTTAGCATAGTCTATACATATAATAAAATCGTAACTAAGCCGAATCTGTACATTGAATATTTTTCGGAAAATTTTATTGAAATAGACTTTATTATCGATACAGAGGCCGAATCTATAGTTTTTAGAATTTTTGTCTGTCTGTCTGTCTGCCTGTCTGTCTGTCTGTCTGTCTGTCTGTCTGTCTGTCTGTCTGTCTGTCTGTCTGTCTGTCTGTCTGTCTGTCTGTCTGTCTGTCTGTCTGTCTGTCTGTCTGTCTGTCTGTTTGTTACCGCATCACGGAAAAACCACTGGAGGGATTTTAATGAACTTTAGTATGGTAATACCTGGTTATCCGGGTCAACATATAGGATACTTTTTACCGCGGGAAAATATCTCATTTCTGGGAAAAAATACAAAAACTGCAATGTAAGAGTATACTAATATGTAAAACCTAAGAATTAGGTGGCAATGGGCAATGCTAGTAATGCATATATTTGAGAGGCATTAACTAATAGGCAGAAATATTTAATTCTCGAATCTAATTTAATTAAGTCTTAGTGGTAAAGGTAGAATCTGTCTTTATAGACAAAAACAAAGTGTTTGATACAGCTACAACTATTACTCAAGTCAATCCTTTATACTACAACCGAAACTTTACATTTAGTCGACAAGATAAAGTCACGGTTAAACTAATTAAGTATTAGTATGTGACTTTCTTGTTTTTACCCGACTGCAAGGAAAGGGTTCCGTTTTTTGCGCCTATCTTTGTATGTTTGTAATATTCTTTATTCCCTCATATCTTCTGAACCACTCGATGGATTTCTTTAAGGTATCGTTAGATTCGTCTCATTAGTCCAAGTATTTTTAGATAGGTGACAAAAAAAATTATGCTGAACAATACTATATTCCTTCGTGAACTTGTTTTCATTCATTTTTAGTTAGCTTTTATGCAGTCGGGTTTTTTATTTTTATAATATATTTGCTTATTAAAAATAAGGTACATATTCAAAATTATCCTAAAATTATTTATTAATATTAATTTGAATTTTTAAATATAGAATAATTAAATTCGGTTTACTAATTTAATTCGGTGAAGATATCGACAACACACGACATTTAAAAATATGTATATTTTTTTTACATCCTTTATTAAAATATCGCTTGTTGTTTTTAACCATATCATGTGAAATGATGTATCGTTGAGATGTAGGTAGATCTACGAGTAGGTACATGGGAAATAACTGCAGCGTTTATATTTTTTATAAGCATTAATGACTTTTGTTATAAAAATATTTTACGTATAATAGATTTTATTTTAAAAAAATATAATATTTTCTAATAAATACAATGACATCTTTATGATATATACAAACATGACATGACATGTAGGAGATATAGGACATTTTCTACAACTACTCAATGATAGTTTCCTATTGGTAAAAGAGATTTTTTGTAATGATTTAGTAGTTCACGATATATATTCTGCCTAAATATATTTAAAAAATACCTTTTTGCAATAGTACAATAATACCAACCTGGGAAAACAAGCTTCGCTCGGCGTTGTTTTATTTTTTTTTTTTTGGAAAAGGTATAATCGGTTTTTTGCAAAGAAAAACACCTATGGTAAATAAACTTAAAAAGAAAAACTGTGTCTAAATACAAAAATTGATACAAATAGAGCCGTTTGTGAGATACACGAATAAATATAAATATTTAGAATTGCTCATTTAATTATAAGATTAGTAATTCGGTAAGACTTAAAATTTACACGTTTTATAAACAATTTCAGAGCAAAGGCGTTTATGCAGTACCAAGACTGGTACTATTCACATCTGAACTTGCACATTATTCTACACGCAAAATGGCTGCTTTTATGGGGATTGGTAGCGACAATTGTATCGCAGTAAAAACAGATGATGTTGGCAAAATGGATGTTGAGGATTTGGAAAAGAAAATTAATGAGGCTATTGAAAACGGATCCACTCCTTTTATGGTGACCTCTACTTCTGGTACAACAGTCTTTGGAGCATTCGACCCGATAATACCAATTGCTAACTTGTGCAAGAAATACAACCTTTGGCTTCATGTCGACGCTGCTTGGGGAGGTGGCGCGTTAATGTCAAAAAAACACAGGCATCTTTTAAACGGGATTGAAATGTAAGTATTACAAGTCTTTTACTTGTGATATAGTACAAGTATTGCTTATTTCATGTATTTATTAATAAATATAATACGAATTTATTAAATTTATGCTTAACAATTGTTAATTATGATTTTAGGGCAGATTCAGTTACATGGAATCCACATAAGCTACTAGCAGCCCCACAACAATGCTCCACTTTTTTAATTAGGCATAAACGCGTCCTCCAAGAGGCTCACTCGTCTAATGCGAAATATCTTTTCCAAAAAGATAAATTTTACGACACTTCTTACGACACTGGTGATAAACACATACAGTGTGGTCGCAGAGCTGACGTCTTGAAATTCTGGTTTATGTGGAAAGCGAAAGGTACTGAAGGTTTTGAAAAGCATATCGACAAACTATTTGATAATGCAAAATTCTTCCTTGAACATATTAAACAGAGAGAAGGTTTTCAACTCGTGCTAGAGAAACCTGAATGTACCAACATAATGTTATGGTACATTCCCAAATGTCTTCGTGGCTGTGAGAACGACCCCGATTACAAGGAAAGATTACACAAAGTCGCACCAAAACTAAAGGAACGAATGATAAAGGAAGGGAGTATGATGGTCACATATCAGCCACAAGGTAACCTCGTGAACTTTTTCCGCATTGTTTTTCAAAACTCAGCACTCGATCATAAGGATATGCTCTACTTCGCTAATGAGTTCGAAAGGCTTGGATCGGATATAGTTGTTTAGATGATCATATCTTTATTAATAATATTAAATAACCTTGAATTAGCTAATATTATTTTATCGTGTAGCCTGTTACTTCTATTTATAAATTAGTTTTGTATTCGATAGGAAAATCAAATTTTATGTTGTCCTACATGTCAATAAATATAGTTGTACAATGTTCATTACAATTTTTTATTTAGATTTCGGGAAAGTAAGAAATATTGATTAATTTCATTATAATATCTTTACACCCTTTCCCTTATAGAATACACTAAAGGAATAGGTATATACGAATAACTTAGCAGAGGTCATAGAGACGATTGGTTTTTTGTTTATACCAGATATCGACAAAATAACTGCGAAGTGGTGGTTTAGTTTAATTAAAATTCGCGCTGTTCAAATATTAAATCTGCAATCTCTGACTAGGCTTGTTCGACATACTACTTAGTACCTACATATAGAGTCGTCTCAGGCTCAAGCAAGTTATATCTATAATGTAAGCTAATTAAAAACATATTAATTTTATATTGAAAAGAAATGTACTGTGATATATTTTAATATATTACAAATTACTTACTTATAAATAAAATAAATAAATAATATAAAGTGTATTATGAAATGAAACGTCAATGTTCTTTGTATAGTAGGTTAAAAGTAAATAGGTTTTATATAGGTCTATAAAATTTTATGTATCGCACAGTTACAAGCAAATTTAATAAGATGTGATATTGAAATGTGTTTAAATGATAGCTATTTACTAGTAGGCTGAGGAAAAATGCATAATGTTATAACCAAATTTATAACAGCCTTTAAATTTTATGCAGTATCGGCTCCGGATGTACTTACTCAATTAGTATGTCTATTTATTCCATAATAATAAAATATTGTTTTTATTGCACAAGTGCATTATCCGACTGCGGCGAAGGCCAAAGGAGGGTCATGTATTTGACCTGTATGTATGTATGTGTGTATGTCCAACCCTATGTTCCCTCGTGATTACTAAGCGACTTTACTTTTAAATAAATATCATGAAAAGTTAAAATGGCGGATCTGAGGCGCCAATTTATGTCTTACAATTTTTTTTTCCGTTCAAATCGATGGAATGGTGTATCGAAATACAGGCTTTATAAGAGGCCATTACAAAATAATTTAGAATAAGAAATTGTTAAATAAAACTAAAAATGTCTAACTGATTAAAACTAAGGAGTAATAGGTAAATTAATAAGCAATTTAAAAATATTTAAGAAAAAAAAACCCTGTAAAGTCTGCATATCGACCGGATAATAGTATGTTTCTTCGTTAATTTGTCATCTTTTTAGTTCGTTTTTTGCGCAGTCGAGTTATTTATATTGTTAGATGTTAGTCTCATTCTTGCTAGAAGTATAGGTAGTGTAAGGTAACAGAAATCGTGCGTACTTGTTATGTATGGCAGTTCTACATATAAACACATCTTCGACAGGATATATGCAGTAGGTATTATATAGAGTCTGACGCCAGAAGATACATGAGCCCTTTATTAACAATAATTAGCCACGAGTGTATCGACGCCATCATTCATCAACGTTGACGTACAATTGATCAGTCTCGGAGATTGATTTATGAATTTAGAAATCTAAGCCAAATCTAGCATGTCTAGATAGATATTAAAGTATAAATATATAGAGGTCAATCAAAATTTTTTATAAATAATTTATTGCTACTTCGTAAAAAAAAATTACCTCCATTCAGAGTTTCACTAAAATCTGTTAAGTCGTTACAGTGCGAAAAAGTAACAACAATAAACAAAAACTATAATAGTATGTGTATTCTATTTGTGATGTTGAAAGTAGCTACTAAGTGCTTTACTATGAATATAAGTAATAAATTAACTTTTATTTATGTAAGAGGATGCCCTTCGTAGTCTTTATCTGGAATAGTGCATTTATAAAGATCTGGAGCATCCATAAAGGTTTTATATAAAAACAAAGGGCGATTGTAGACCATGTGAAGAATGACAATAAAATAACTTAGTCTATGCTTTTAGAATCAAAGATTTTATCTGAAAATTATTTTATGGAGCTTTTATATTTAAAAATAAGGCAACATTATTCTTGTTTGTTCATAAAGAGACATTTTAAGCTAAATAAATATAGCTATATTCTAAAAGTGGAACTAATAATTTAAATATTTCACAACACTTTATTTGACACTGGTCAATTTACGGGAAAGGTATGGCGCATGGTAAAGTGAAATAAAATAAATCTGTCAGTGGCCATGGCTAGAGCAACCCAGTCCAAACGTCCCATAATGTCATTTGTATACAATTGAAATGCGAAAATTCAAAAAGTTATAAAAATCTATACATAATATAATAAAATTCTAAGTCAAATCTATTATATATTTTCTATATTTTTTTTTTTTTAATCTATATTTTTTGGGAAATCTAATTGAAATAGACATTATTATCGATACAGAGTCCGAATCTATAGTTTTTAGAATTTTTGTCTGTCTGTCTGTCTGTCTGTCTGTCTGTTACCGCATCACGAGAAAACCACTGGACAGATTTTGATGAAATTTGGTATGATGATAGCTGGTTATCTGGGTCAACATATAGGCTACTTTTTACCGCGGTAAAATATCTCAATTCTGGGAAAAAATACAAAAACACAAAAACTGCATTGTAAGAGTATACTAATATGTAAAACCTAAGAATTAGGTTTTTGGTCATCTGAACGCGGGCGGAGCCGCGGGCAATGCTAGTATATAATATATTGCAATACATAGATATATATACATAGATACATAGACATCATGCCGTTATAGTGCTTCATATTTCTTTTTCTTACAATTTATAAACATATCATTTTTATTATTCCTAGTGATTTCACTAAAGACTTTTTTGTTTTTATAATTTAAATACTGCAAATTTAAATATGTCAAAGGGTCGAAAGTCGAAATACTTAGTAGAAATAATAGAATGATATAAAATAGACCAGTTTACTTTTTTCACAGAACGTCTTTAAAATAAAGTAAAAATATGAATCTTTATAAATAAAGTATAACAAGTACTTATTAACCTACTACCGGAAACACTCGCATTAAAAAAATTACTAGTATACTATATAGTGGTAGCCCAGTGGTAACGCGCTCGCTTGGGAAACCGAGTGAAGCGGGTTCAAATCCCGGGTCTCGCACCTCTGATATTTTCATGTGCGAATCATTTCCAACATAATTACCACTTGCCTTACGGTGAAGGAAAACATCGTGAGGAAATCTGCATGTCTGAGGGAACCTAGCAAGTTTTCGAAAGACATGTGAAGTCCGCCAACCCGCACTTGGCCAGCGTGGTGGACTATGGCCTGATCCCTGATGATAAAAGTTACGATTTAAAAAATCATTTAAAGAGGTCAATTGTTAGAATTCCTTATTCGAAAAAAAAATGTTTCATAAATAAAAAAAAACTCTTTATAAACACTTGACAAATTTCGTTGACATTATAATTCGAAATCACATTCACTACAAATAAACAAAACATGTAATTGCAGTGCACACTTAAATCTAACACTAGGAAATGTTTTTACAACGTAATAAATATAAAATTAGCCTTATAAATATTTATGAAGTCTGCATATTTATTCTGGTTTCCGTAGTACCTTTATAATACTATCTAATAGCAATCTGTAATTTTTCTAATGCTTTAGATATAAGTAAATTTATATATAATTATAAATACTAGTTTATACATTAGATATGTTCAAGTTTTTTCGATGTCTAAAAAAGCTATATTCTTGTAATTTGCGGTCTCAATATGAAAGAGTTACGTAAGAATCTATTCAAAAACAAAGAAAAGTATACTAACTCACACGCACAGACATACGCACATGCACGTTGCACACACACTCCCGCATACATACACACACACACACACACACACAAACACACACGCACGCACGCACGCACTACTCTTTTTTTATTTTTATGTAGATACAACATCAACGGCGCATTGAGTTGCATACTTGTTTCTGAATTTTTACTTGACCAATAAATAAATGCATATCCATTTCTTTTTTAATGGGAAGTGAACCTCTTTGATAAAAAATTCAAGCGACTTCGTAATACCAATGTCAATGAAATGTTATCATTTTATATTAAAGTAAATAATTGAATAATATTAACCAAATCTTTTAATTTAAAAGGAATGTTTATGGTATTACCACATACTCTTACGTAGGTATTTGTAAGTTTATCCTTCTTTCGTGTACTAAAGGATCCTTTTTTTTCTTTTTTTTGGGATGGGAAATACATTCACCCATACCACCTGCATATATATATGTACGTATACATGTGGTTATGTGGGTCTCCTAGGCTAGAGTAACCATAGGTACTACCTACTAAAACCTAAAGGAACCTCCCTCGTCTTAATGGAGCATGGCAGGATCGGTTACGTACTCAATCACGATGGCCAGTCTCCACTGTCCAGTTTTTCGCGTATCTCAGAAACAGCTCTAACAATTTGGATCAAATTTTAATATATTATATTTAGTTTATCAAAAATAGAAAAATAAACTCATACAACAAAAAACAGACTTTACTTCTTATTTAAACAGTGAAAATTGAGTAATATACCAATGCCTTTTTTCATATCTATACATATAATATAACTGTAGAGGTCGAATGTCTGTACATAGAAATAAAATGCTAAAAACCGAGTAAGGGGATGTAAGTAGAGAAATAGAACAAATCTAGTTTTTTTTTTCATTTTTTTCTCTGTATGTTCATACATCAGAATAATAAATAGGCTTTTTTGTCCCAGAAAATGCACGATTGTCGTGGGATAGATTTGTTTTTGTTTGTGTTGTTTGCGAACATATTTCAATCCAATTTATTTACACTAACATACGTATTTACAATTCATACATATTTCAATTTTCTTGTTAATGGCAACTTTTACTTTTAATTTGCCAATGTCAATTCGTCATCTTCTGATATATCTCCTAATGGTAGCTCTTCACACTCCATCTGAGGAAAAATTACATATTAATAAGAATGAAATTACTGAAAATTAATGGTACTGATAGTAAAAAAAGTACTCGAAAATTTTTATTTGTAATGTTTTCTAGTTTTTACCTGTAAATTATGTTAAAAATAATTATTATGGTAAGAAGGAAGTATTTTTTTAATTAATATTCCATTGGTATCTACTAAAATATACATATTGTAAATGTTTAATTTTTAATCAGTTGCTTTAGTGCTGCTATGCTGAAAGCAAAATCAAATACTCTTCCAATATGTTCATTAAATATTATTATCTGGTCGTTATAAATATTAAATATTCTTTCGATATTAAGAAAAATATTTTGTTTGTTTATATGTAGTTACTATTGAAAAATAATTTTAGAAGCACTGTTGTGGCACTGTATATAGCTAGAAAATGATTTGAATATTACCACACACACACACATATATATATATACTGTATGTACATTGTAAATACACTGTGACAAGAGCCAACCTTATTATATTATAGTATATTATTACATACACTCATAAAAGTAATCACTTAGATTACATTATGGGTATAGTACACTGGTAACTACTGAATCGCCTATCAAACGCCTATTGTCGTACGTTGATGGAATTTGCCAGAATCTTTCGCAGGCGAGCGCCAAATGACTTAAAAAAGTATCATTATAATCGGTAATTTGCAACAGAAATACATACACAACAAAGAGACTCACAGACAAGCGTACATTCACCATTATATAATACTAGCTAACTACTTTGTGGTGTAAAGTGATACAAAAATTAAAGCTATGACTATGACACAAACTGCAACATAAATGTCAGACATTAATTTTTGTTCTGTTCACACTTTTACGAAATTTTTAGTGTCTGTATACATATACATAATATACCTATAATTAGTCATATTATATTAATACTTATTGATTGATTGATATGAATTGATTCATCGAAATAATACCTAGGTAGGAAAAGATTGTCTGAGAAGTATAAAAAATGCACGTCGCAATAAATTCTAGTATATATTATGTGCCTAACTTACTTACTAAATACTACTTAAAAAAAATAAACTTGTAACTAATAACAGTAGTAAAAATTCAAATTTAATCTGCAAAGTAACTTACCACAGTTTCATCGTCAGGAATCCTAGAGAGTAAATCTAATATTTCATTGTTTGGTATATGGTTGGGACGTATAAATTTTCGCATGTATTTATGCACCCCTAAAAATAAATAATCATACAATATTTGTATGTTGAAATATATAATATACATTTTTTTTAAATAGAATAAAATTATAACAACTTATATAATATTCTTGTGCGAATCATTTTCCAATATTACAAGTGGTCTTACGGTGAAGGAAAGCATCTTGAGGAAACCTGCATGTCTGAGAGAATCTAGCAAGTTTTTGAAAGATATGTGCAGTCCGCCAACACGCTTTTGGCAAGTGTGGTGGACTATGGCCTCATCCATCTCGTATTGAAGGGAGGCCCTTGCCCAGCACTGGGACATTAAAAAGGGTTGAATGCATACACAGACGAACCTGGAGGTATAGGGTATCGCTACCTGTATGTAATATTATAATAAATACAAAAACATACGAGTACATAGGTCCTCCGTAAGTCCCTAGGTATTTTTTAATATTAAAATAATGTAAATAAAATCAAATCTTACCCCATATCAGACAAATGTAGTTGAACGGTATTAAATACATAACAAAAGCTATGGTGACAATAAAGAATATTGCCAGATAGCTCACAAAAGGAACTGTAAAGTTAAATAAGCTGAAACAAAAATATACATATCATGTATATTTTGACGACACGTTTGGCTCAGTTTGTAGTGACCCTACTTATTGAAACAGCGGTCGCGGGTTCGAGTCTCGCGGGGGGCTAAAATCTTTTTATGTAGTGTGTAATTATTACTACATATTTAGAAATATTTTTTCACATATATGCAGTAGCTAGTATATTATACTAATTAAATTATAGTACTAGGCACTCCGGTTAATGTAATTTCAGTTCGAAATGATTGGCTAATTTACCTAGCACTAAAGTATAATTGCTAGCAGTACTTAAATGAAATCAAACTGTAAAGTACTACGTTAATAAACAACATATAATCAAGTGATCACTATAAAACAGTGGAGACAGAATTAAAGGTGGTAGTTTATACATTATTATAATGGAATAACATCTGTATATGAAATATTTTTAAAAACAATGACTGTTACGTGAAGAATATAGGTCCCCAAATAATAGGTATTGATTTTTTTCTGGTTCTTTGTACGTCTGTGTGCATTTCAGGCAGAAATTACTGAACCGATTTTAAGTAAACATTGAGAAGTGATAACGTATTACTAGGGCCAACATTAGCATACCTTTTATTACAGGGAAATATTTCATTCCTACGGGAAAGTTTGCAATAATATATGTCTATAACTATATCCTAAGTTACACTCACAATAACTATTTTTATCTATTCAAAACGTATCTAGGGATGTACCCAAGTGAAGCGTGGGTAAGTCGCTAGTATCTAACGAAATAAATGAAGCAATAAACAAAAGATTCCAATATAAAATCTTACTTTTTAACACTTTCTCCGGTACTGGCTAATGCTCCAATCACATTTTGAATTGATTGTACCATTTCCTGAAGGCTTTGTATTTTTTGTCGCAAAGAAACATTTTTGTCTTCCTAAAAATAACAGAGATATTATATTGTTATTGTTTCAAAGTAAAAATTAAAAATTGACAATTGAAAGTAGGTCATTGACTTTGCTTTATGTATCGGAGTTGAATAAAATAAATAAATATTATAACAATTTGAGACGCTAAAGGACCATGTTACTACAGTAAAAATTAGTCGACGTGTTCATTGCACCCTTAAATAATTTCTCAGTAAGATATTCGTAGGTTTAGGTGTACGAGGGCAAAAATAGACAGATAATGATTGTTTAGGATTAGATGTATGCAAATGAATAGATGAGTGCAGTGTGTGGTAGTTATTTCTTCGTCTCCGCGCTTATTTATCCAAACGACAATTTACCGAAAGGGTTTTTAATACAGAATTATAAATTTTGTCAAGTCCATATAAAATGTATTTTATCAACTAGCATTGCCCGCGGTTCCGCCCGCGTTCAGGTGACCAAAAACCAAATTCTTAGGTTTTACACATTAGTATATTCTAACAAAGCAGTTTTTGTATTTTTTCTCAGAAATGAGACATTTTCCCGCGGTAAAAATTATCGTATATGTTGACTCGGATAACCAGCTATCACCATACCAAATTTCATCAAAATCCCTCCAGTGGTTTTTCCGTGATGCGGTAACAGACAGACAGACAGACAGACAAAAATTCTGAAAACTATAGATTCGGCTACTGTATCGATAATAATGTCTATTTCAATAAGATTTTTCAAAAACTATTTAATGTACAGATTCGACTTAGTTAGAATTTTATTATATGTATAGATTAACATATTATATATACTATATATATATATTATAAATCTTAGAAATAAAACTCAGTTTTAAAGCAGAGGAAAAAACTCTCTACCGTAAAGTACAACCAGTGTTGGTAATTCGAACAAATAAGCACTAAGGCGACAATTTTGAAAATTTCATACAAATTAACATATTAACGGAAATTATTATAACTTATGATATGTGCTTTAACTTACCTTTTCAGTTTTGGAATCTGCAGAGTCAATTTCCATTGTTACTAAAAAATAAAACAAAATATACATATACCATTTAAAAAAACCAATTGTTTTCATTTTACTGTTATATTTTGTATAAATAACTTACTTTTTGGTCTGTACCAATAAAATGGTATTAATAATAAAAGCGGTAACATCCACAATTTGGCAATAAGACAGAATACTATCCATATAAATAGAGCTAATAAGTTTAACTTCTTCGATTCCCATTCGAAACAAGATCTGAAAGTAATATACAAATATTGTTATGGCATAATATCTACTGAGTACGTTTTTATCTCTAAGCTTCAACATTTTTATATACAATATAAAATTTAATGATATCGTGAGTGAAGAATAATCCGCCAAGCATGTTGTTAGATAGGTGTTCATATCCCGTGTAAAAATCACTGTTGACCTAAGGCTTCAGGTCAGTGTCAAGCAGAGCAAATATTTATTATGTAACGTGCCACAGTATTTGTCTACTTTTCTTTATGATTTTTAGTTAATAATATTATTTTGATTACAATTTTTCAACGAGGTATCAAAAGTATGTTAAATCGTCTTCCAAGTTTTACTTATAAAGGGGTGTTTAAAATAGCTTATATTTCATTCTCGTTCAAATTTTCTATCTATTGTTGAAAGTCTATCAAAATCAGATCAGTCGCAATGGAGAAATCAGCGAGCAGCTTGCTTGAGGTTTGGTATCATCGTGCAAGTAACTTTATTAACTCACTGTGGGAGGGAAGCTGATTTGATATCACAGATAGACATATCAAGAAATAAAACCTACTACCAACCTCAAACACCTGGACCTCTTGTAATTAATAAAAAAAAAAAAAGTACAACCTTAACCTCGTTATTATTTTATTTTATTATATTATATTATACAGATTATTGTTCCGTAACGATTACAGGTGTATTTCCTTTTTAAGCAATTAATTTACGCTGTAATTAGTTTCCACGAATCAAGTACATAAATTAAATACTTTTACCAAAAGTTTGTAATGTAAGTATGTATTCAAAATTTTACATGCATTTACGATTTAATCACTACATAAATTAAATTATAAGACAATATCCTACTAATACCTATTATAGGAGTAAGAGAGGAGGAATGCTTTGTGAGGATGTATGAATATCTGGATGTATGGATGTTTGTTACTCTTTCACGCATAAACTACTGAATGGATTTTAATGAAACTTTACAATAATATAGCTCATACATCAAAATAGCATACTTTTTATTCCGGGAAAATGAAAGATTCCCGTGGGATAGATTTGTTTTTGTTTTTCTAGAGGCAAACCCGAGCGAAGCGACGGTGAGCCGCTAGTCTATACATATAATAAAATTGTAACGAAGCCGAATCTGTACATTAAATATTTTTTTTAAAAACTTTTTAATATAAACATTATTATCGACACAAAGACCAAATCTATAGTTTTTAGAATATTTGTGTCTGTCTGTCTGTCCGTCCGTCCGTCCGTCCGTCCATCCGTCCGTCTGTCTGTCTGTCTGTCTGTTACCGCATCATAGAAAAACCACTGGAGGGACTTTGATAAAATTTGGTATGATGATAGCTGGTTATCCGGGTCAATATATAGGATACTTTTTACCGCGGGAAAATGGCTTATTTCTGAGAAAAAAATACAAAAACTGCAATGTAAAAGTATACTAATATTTAAAATCTTCCTTCAATACCACTGTCCTTAGATAAATATAGGCCTACCAGAAAAGAATACGGTTCAACACAATGTGGCGAATATCACCTATTTAAGTACTTACTAGTTAACCCTGTATAGTATCGCGTAAATTAAGTCGAAATAATTAAATACACGGAATGTTAAAGTAACGGTTAATCGCTAGATCCTTGAATTTATTAAAACATTAATATCTTATTATAGGTTTGGTGAATGTAAGCTAAATTTAATTTTTAATTTTAACTGGTCTAGTGGCAGTTTCCGGTTGCAAGTCGTAATGACCTCGAAGGTTCGAGTCAAATTCTTCGATGGGACCTATGAAGTTATTTTGATTTTTCAGTAAAGAAATTTTAGTTTCTCCTGTAAGTAGGGAAGTGTGTATAGATACATACTTCGGAGAGTATTTTGAAAAGCAGGATATTTAGAAAGAAGCGGTCCGATTGGATAATGACAGCGTTGGAAGAAACCTGTTCTTGCACTGATTATATATAATTATTGTGCACATATCTAATAATATTTCTCAAGCAGATAGCTAGTGTCACTGTTACCGAAAATCGATGAGCAGGACACCACTAGTATTATCTTCATCTGTGAACCTTTTTACAGTATTATTATTACTTTATTATATACATAATTCTATTCAATTATATAAAAGGTACGTTTTAATTTTTTGAGTGGAACCCTAATTATTTTTCTAAAATAAAAGTCTATGTTACTCCCTATAACATAAGCTATCTTCCAGTGAAAGTTCCAGGCCCATCAAAATCAGTCCAGCCGTTTCAAAGATTATCCGGAGCAAACAGACAGACAGACAGACAAAACATTTTAAAAATTGTGCTTTTCTTATAAGTACCGTATTTAATTTTATATGTATTTAGTAAAACGCTGTTATTTTAACATTACAAACAGACAATTCAATTTTATTTATCTGTATAGATGTATATATGAATCGAGGATAGGCCCGTGCTCAACAGTCTGAAGTTAAAAAAATGACTGAAAATATTCAAAAGGAAAAATTCAATTAATTTGGTAAATTAGATTTAAGTAACGTTTCAGTTATATAATAATAATTTCACTAAATGTAAAGAGACCATGAACAGGTTTATTACTCACTTGAGAATTTTAAAGGCATCCATGATCCACATAGTAATAGCTTTTGCCCTCGATAGATTTTTCGCAAAAGCGTGTCTTGTCAACTTTTCTTCTGTTTGAAGATAATTTACTTCTTTCGGGTTAATAACTCTTACTGCAGCTTTTATCTGAAAAGTAAAACATAAGAGATCTCTCTCTCTTATTAAAGAAGCTACATGAAATAGAGAAATTAAAAAAAAACATTTTTTTTCTTTAGTGGCTTAGAGTTGCGTTAAAAAAGTATTAATTACTTATTTAACAAAAGTGTTGAAGTAATTAAAGAGGTTAATTTAATATTATCACGCGAGAGTCGACTCTGTATATTAAATGTTTCTTGGAAAATCTTATTGAAATATTCACTATTATCGATACAAAGGCCGAATCTGTAGTTTTTAGAATTTATGTCTGTCTGTTTGTCCGGGAACACATCACGCGAAAACCGCTGGACAGATTTTGATAAAATTTTGCTTGGTGATAGCTGGTTATTCGGGTTAACATACAGAATACTTTTTAATGCGGGAAAATATCTGATCTCTGAGAAATCGATACTAAACGTTAAAACGTAACTAGGGAATAAACCCAAGCGGAGCGAGGGTGAGTCGCTAGTTAAAATAAAAAAAATGTTAAATGAAGAAATTATATGTACCATAAATAAGAATTTCGTATTTGAATAAGAAAAAAGAATATTATTACTTACTAAGTTCCAAGTAATATACATTTCCAGTAAAATTCTTGCGTTATTGCCTTTAGCTTTCTCTTTAAGTGTGCTGTCTTTAAGTGCAAACCATTTCTTTCCTGGTTTTATTTTAAGTAATGGTATTGCAATCCTGCCTACTTCTTCAGACTTTTTTTCATCGTAGATTACTACTTCTAGAATAGAAGTTATATCTGTAACCTTGCTGTAACATTTATACGACTATTCTAAATTTTTATTTACCCAACTAATGAAATGAATGCTCAGTTAATATATAAAAAATAACTTTAAAATTGTTTGCTTTGATGTTTCAATATTCCCAAAGCAGATTATTTCGTTAAGTATCAAATGTATGTGTTTTTTTATAAAGTAATATAGCTTAAAACAGAGTTAATTATTAACATTGATTTAAACGGTCTATTTGAGTTGTCAGGATTGTCTAATAGAGTATACAAGCGTAAAGTAACCACAGTTTATAATCTATACATATAATAAAATTGTAACTAAGTCGAATCTGTACATTAAATTTTTTTTGGAAAATCTTATTGAAATAGACATTATTATCGATGCAGAGTCCGAATCTATAGTTTTTAGAATTTTGTCTGTCTGTCTGTCACCGCATCACAGAAAGAACACTGGAGGGATTTTGATGAAATTTGGTATAGTGATAGCTGGGTATCCGGGTCAACATATAGGATACTTTTTACTGCGGGAAAATATATCATTTCCGAGAATAAAATACAAACACTGCATTGTAAAAGTATACTTATATGTAAAATCTAATAATTTGGTTTTTGGTCATCTGAACGCGGGCGGAGCCGCGGGCAATGCTAGTAAAATATATACTTGTAGTACCTACGGCAGATGTTAGAATGATATATGTACCATTGTGATTTTGATGTGTTTATATTTTATATTTTCGTTCAAGACGTTTTGAATGCTTTACAGCAAACATGGTCACGGGAGGAGTCAGTGTCTCCCAAAGATAGTTTCATTTAAAATGTTCGCTTAAATATAAGATAGTATTAATATAAGTTACTTACAGTGTGATAATTTTCATCCAATTTGGTTCATTTGTTCTCCAGTCTGTCTGCGTTTGTATTCTTTCATTGTTAAGATTAAGAACACAGTAACAATCTTGCCCAGATAAGCCTTTCGCACCGTAAACAGTCACTGTTAATACTCCTACATTTGAAAACTGATCAGTAACGCGGAACCAAGCCTGCAAAATTATATTAAATATTTACTCATAAATAAATGAGTTATAATCGTCATAAAAAAGTGTTAAATGAAGCATTAGGAAGGTGAAGGTGTTATTCTCAAATAATACAAGAGTCAATAATTTTTCATTAAATCTATACATATAGTAATAAAATTATAACTGAGTCGAATCTGTACATTAAATAATTTTTAGAAAATCTTATAGAAATAGTCATTATTATGGATAGAGAGTTCAAATCTATAGTTTTTAGATTTTTTGTCTGACTGTCTGTATGTCTGTGTGTCTGTGAACATATCATGAGAAAACTATTGGACCCATTTTGATGAAATTTGTTATGATGATAGACAGTTATCCGGGTCCACATATAGGATACTTTTTATTGCAGGAAAATTTCTCATCTCTGAGAAATCTATACTAAACGTTATAGGTATAGTATCAAAATTATATTTATTATTACAAATATCATGCAGTGTGCATATTATTGTTATATATAACAAAAACTCATCATTAGCAAAAAGTTACCTGAAAATTGAAAGAAATCAGAGAGTAATGATCCCTCTTTATCTGTAAAATAACTTTTACTGAAATTTTAAAATACTTACATATTTCTTCTGCATCATATGTCGACTTTCTTCTTCCTCACATTCGGTAATATCGAAGACTGTATTCATAGTAGTTCCGCTTATCGTAAGCAATAAAAAACATTCAATATTTTTAAATTCGCCTTCTAGTTTCTGTCGAATCTGATACGTCTTTTCTTTTTTTAAATCTAATAAATTTAATCTGCAACTGCAATTATTTTGATATTGCTTAATATGAATTGTTGTTTATATTATATCTACCTTTATTAGCTCTTTACTATTTATTCGTTAATTTTACCTTCCAATAAAAATATCTCTATCCCATAAAGAAGCTTCTAAAATATAGTCCTCATCATATAGATTAAAAGAAAATAATTCTTGAAATTTAGTATGAGCTTGAGAACTTCGGATTAGTTTGGACTTACGTTTTTCAGAACCTAACCTGCAATGAAAATATTATGCTGGTGTCACACAATACAATAGCATTATAAATCATAACCGATTTCAATGTAATAATGCATACTTAAATCTGAACGATAAGATACGTTGTTTGTCTTCATCAGAATCTTCTAATCCTTTTAATTCCACCAATACAACTGTTACTGTAGCTATTTTATTCTTTTTTGGTGTCTTTGCGAGGTATCTATTCGAATTTATTGAAAAGTACTGAAACATATTTAACCTTTGTTAATTATTATTGTTGGTAAAAAAAGTTTCAAAGCGTGATTTTAAAAATTAATATGCTTGTGCCATGTGTATGTATAACATACATACTCTCTCTCTCTCTCACTCACACACATACACACACACACACACACATGCACGCACAATGTTGTTTCCTTATACATTCGCTCGCTCAGCCATAAATATTTGCATTAAAATATATGTGACATGTTTGCAACTGCCATCAATAATAATGGTTTTCACGATTTAAATATAATATATTTATATTTACAGTATGTATGTATTTAAAGTTATATATGTGTATCAACTATCTGGTATCCATAGCACAAGCCGCGTAGCTTACCATGGAACTAGATGGTGCAGTGTGTTAATGTCCTAACATATTTATTTATATATTTATTAAATAGAGGATAAAAACAGAATAAAGCACTAATATTCAATAAATCTAAATTTTAGAGTCCGATAATTCATGAATTCATATCAATTAAATTTCAATTCATCTCGTTGATTCTAAAACGATCTGAATTGCAGATCGACACTTCTTTCAACTCGGTACATGGTTAGTATAAATGGGTTTGATTGCAGATCCATCTGTCTATTGACAGTTTGTAATTTAATACTTCGTGTGCATTACTATAATCTGTTAGATTTATTAATATAAATATAAAAATAAATTATTTCAATGTATAATATACTTATCAAACATATATCCCTAACTCATTTCGAGTTAGGGCCCTTTCCCAATCCAGTACAAAAAGTATTTTAAATTCGGATAAATTTAATTGATTAAAATCATTTTACTTTCCATAATAAATCTAGTTTTCATTAATATACTCATGTCATATAAAAACATTCATGTACAAATTGTACTTTTTATATTTGAACAGGTCTGTACAAATCCAGTATTTTTTGAAGTTATACTTCTTTTGGCACATTTTAAAAAAAATATGAGAGTAAAATTTTTACGATGCCCGCGCACACCGACAGCCAAAAAGCGACATGATGTAGTTAGCTGCATTCCTTTTAAAACGGAGAAATGAAATCTTTAGCTATTTTTGTTCTGTTACGCCAAAGAAGTATAATTTCTTATATGCGTACATAAGTACACACACACACGTTTTTTTAATATGTAATTTATCTTTTGACCGAGAAAATAAGTTATATTTCTACAATACAGTACAATCTAATAAAATTAATATTACTGAGGTACATTATAATCGGTTCAGGCCTTCATGCACCGATAGATAAGAATTTAACAAATATATTATTATACCATATATAAAAAAATGTAAATCCCGTCCTTAGCATACAATTTCGGGCTTTGATTTCTATAAAAATTAAATTCAAAAATCCATTTTTTTGATGGCGTAATTGTAATCTTTAATATTATTTATACATAATACTTTCTTAGATTTACGCGAATATTTGACATTTTAAATAAAACTATCTTTTCGGATTTTGTCTCTCCCGTGACCATGGATGCTGTAAAGCATTCGAAACGTCGGGAAACAAAAATGCAAATAAATCCGCGGCAAAATCCGAAAAGATAGTTTTATTTAAAATTATTTATACAATTATTAGTTGTATATAATTTGATCGCGCTAAAGTTACTTTAAAGTGAAAGTATGTACAGCCATTATCGTACATTAGTGCACTTAATTCTGTCGAGGACAATAGCATGTAGTTCATTCGAAAAAATATTTAATCATTATAATTAATTTAAAAGATAACAAGTCTAGAAACTACTTACTTCTTTAAATCTTTTTCGAGATTCCTTACGTTGTTTTAGTTTGGAATTTATTTTGTCTCGAATACTTCTCGGAGGAGGTGTTATTGGATCAGAAAATTCATCACTCTCTTTTGTAACATCGTTTAACCTTTAAATATATTTTATTACTTGTAATATCTATAACATTCGAATAGTTAACAATATCAATATCGTTTTAATAATGAAATACTTACGATTCAAGACTTGTATTCAAATAGTTATTTTTAAAAAATACATTTTCTTCGAGAGTGTCTATTTCTTCATCACATTTTATATCACTTGCTAATGAAACGCATTCCGAATCTATAATATCTATATGGTTATATACAATGTCCGACGAAACTGCATCTTTTTGTTTATCAAAATACACAATAGTTTCCATAAAGTTACCATTTTGATTTTTATGTATACTGTTATCTTGTTCATGAATAGATCTTAAATCACTGACACTAGTACATTTTTTCCGATCTTGTAGCAAAAAGTCTTCGTCTGCATCAAGTAACATGTCGATGGATTTTGACTTTTCTAGCTTTTTTTGCATTTCTTCATATTTGCTTTGAATTCTTTCATGAAGTTTGGCGAAGTGCTTTTTAGTAATACTTCCTACTGTTCCTGTTTCTATTTCCATGTTTTTATTTTTCCATATAATTATATGTTTCAACACAGCTGTAGAAAAGAAGGAAGTGTCAATACTGTTCGCTGATATCGATTAATGCTATATAGGTACTATCTTCACAAACCTTATCTTATCATTTGTTTTAGTTGATTATTTTGAATAGAATCCTTATCATGACTAACGTTGAAATCAATCGGGTACTTTTGCAAAATTATTTATAATGAATCAATTTAACCCACAATAAAGATATATTAAGTTATCTAACGTGAAGTAAATAATTAATGTTATATCGTAATATGTTATAAATAATCACTCGGACGATTTATATATATTATCTAGTCAAGTTTTAATATCAATTTGTTTATGATAGAGGCGAACCATTTTAAATAAAACTATTTTATCAAATTTCCTTCGTGGTTTTATTTTTCTTTTGATATGATTTTTTGAAACATCGTCACAGAAGAGATTAAGATTTTTGACGTTTCAAAAATATATTATACTAGCAGAACCCGCGGTGTCGCTTGTGCCTATCTAACCTACCTTTTTAGAGTTTTTGTTGTAAACTACAACAAAAACTCTAAAAAGGTAGGTTTCATACAAACTTTCATCCCCCTTTTTTTTTTTTTTTAAAACTTTCATCCCCTACTTTACCCCCCATATAGAATTTCGAAACATACTAAAACACGTATTTATTTAATTGTATAGGATCGCATTAGTACTAAGTTTCAAGTAATTCTGACAATAAATATTTTTTGGGTTGTCTTATAACGTGTTTTCCCGTGGGAATGACGTAGTCTCCCGCAGCAAAAACTAGTCTATGTCACTCTCCAGCCTTTCAAATATCTCCACACAAATCTTCTGAATGTCCGTCGGTTTTATCTAACTTCAATTAAAGTTATATGATTCTTATAATTTGGTAGTAAACAATATTTTTTATATATAAAACTAGCATTGCCCGCGGCTCCCCCCGCGTTCAGAAGACCAAAAACCAGATTCTTAGGTTTTACATATTAGTACACTCTTACATTGCAGTTTTTGTATTTTTTCTCAGAAATGAGACTTATATGTTAATGAAAATGTCTTATATGTTGACCTGGATAACTAGTTATCACCATACCAAATTTCATCAAAATCCTTCCAGTGGTTTTTCTGTGATGCGGTAACAGACAGACAAAAATTCTAAAAACTATAGATTCGGCCTCTATATCGATAATAATGTTTATTTCAATAAGATTTTCCAAAAAATATTTAATGTACATATTCGGCATAGTTACAATTTTATTATATGCATAGATAAACATAGCCCTTACCATTCGGCGGTAATGTAGCTTTCTAATAGTGAAAGAATTTTTAGAATCAGTAGTGTCGGAGATTACCTCCTACAATTAAACTTACAAATTTTACCTCTTTATAACATAAAATACATTATGTATATATGACGTAGAAGTGTTGTAGTAGAAGCTAGCCTTGTTATATATAATTATTATAATTTTAAGATATGATAATTTTAAGTTCGATTAATTTTTAAGAAATTTTACTTTGTCTTTTTATCTAAGATTATTTTATAAATAACATATATACTATACGAAAACGCCATATTATATTGATGTAGTGTTAATATTATCTCTGTCCACAACACTAGGGCAAATGTGTGATGATAAAATAACAAAAATCACATAAATACATAAGTACCGACCGATACCGAGTGTTATATCGATGTGTCACAATAGTTATGAAATTTTGGAAAATAGATGTAATAAGTATAACTGTATACATTAATATTATATAGTTATGTTTATGAGTTTCGATATGAGGTAAATTCTAGATTCAATTTTTTACTATTAGGATATTATGTGTTATAGGTATATAATATACTTATATAATATTTGACATTTTTAATTAAATTATCTTTTCGGATTATTTCGCAGATTTATTCAGATTTTTGGTTTTGGTTGTGAATTTAATCGAAATTCAATCACTACAAAACAAACACAAATAATAATTATAATATAAAAGAAAGATATCAATAGGAAAATAGCATAATTTAGATTTCATGAATACTCTAAAGCTGTGGACATTTTTTGCTAGTTTAAGACCTGCAAAATATGCACATCAGCAATATTTTAGCGGAGCGTTCGTGTATTAAATTAATATCACACATGACCCTTACGACGTACTTTGCAAGGATGCAATCTAGAAAACGCTTTGGTGGCGGAAAAAGTATCAAATGCAGAACATCAGCGTTCAGGTGAATTTATGACCGTCCTATGCAAGGAACTGCACAGTTTGTCACGTCAGCCGCGAATTATGAGGTTCGGGCTATTCTACCCATTTTTACTCATTTTTTACATTCACTGACAATTCTATTTCTAGACTTATATAAAAAATGCAATAAACATTTAAACGTAACAGATTGCTTCCGCTTAACTTGTGTCCCAACTACATGCCGTGCGTCCTTTATTAGTTGCGTTGTTTTTCTATGGATATTCATCTACAGCTCAGGGTTCAAGTCCCGGTTGTGTCAAGAGTATTCGGTTTTTTGTCATGAAATCCTTTGTAGCAGTCGAAAATTGGGAGGTTAGGGGTAATACAACTCATAGCTTCTATGACACTTTAATCAGTGCAGCTCTATTCAGTAGAGTCGAATTGTTATCTCAACGGAATATGAGAGCGAAAAAAATGAAGTTTGCGCGTACTCTTATATTAATATTAAGTATCTCAGTCAGATAGTTCACCTTGGTTTGGATTCGGTCTAGCGCCTTTTTATTTGATTTACTTAAATAATAAAATTTTAGCGACTCTATGGTTATACAAAATATGTATGTTGATCTGTTTTCTATCTTTATGTGAAAGGAAGGCAAGCTGACATACTAATACATATATACGACATATAAATAATATAATTAGTAAGAATTTATGATGGAACCGGATTGGCTCTAATAGTATAGAGTACGTTTCCTGCAGACTTAATATTGTATATTTCAATATCGTACACTTTGCGTTATTAATAAACCAAGGCGCTAACACATTAATGCAATTTTAACTTTAGCCGTTAAGCTTGAAAAGTAGTATGAAGTTTCTCTGAAGTTTGTATTCATGCTAATCCTACAAACTATGAACAAACTCCGTCTCAAGAATTTTATCCAAGGGATATTTTATTTATGGGAAACCTGAATTTATATTTTATTTTATGCTTAATTACTTAAAATATTTGAATCCTACTAATTTTATAAACGCAAAAGTTTGTAAGAATGTATGTATGGATGTATGTTTGTTACTCTTTCACGCAAAAACTACTGAATGGATTTTGATGAAACTTTACAATAATATAGCTCATACATCAGAATAACACATAGACTACTATTTATCTCGGAAATATGTACGGTTCCCGTGGGATAGATTTGTTTTTGTTTGTCTAGAGGCGAAACTAAGCGAAGCGAGGGTGAGCTAGTTTATTATAATTATGGCTAATCTGAGGTACTCGTACGTTCCGCCCGATTTGTTTTCATCTTGTCATGGAGCTCACTGGGACACACTGGGAGGTGACCCACTTCGGTGGGCAGTGTACCATGCGGGTTGCTCCTGCTACTTCTCTTACAGCAGAGTGGACTGAGGGAGCAACCCCTTGGTTGTGTGGTCTGCTTAGGCAGATCTACCGTCCGGGCGTCGTGGTTGAGTGCGTAAGCGATCTCGCAACGCCCCATTAAGATTGAGGAGGTTTCGTTGGGTTTTAGTGGGCATTACTGGCTCTCTAGCCAGTGAATTCTAAATAAAACCTGCATGTATACAGATAGTATGCGTAAATGCGTTTCCCAAATTAAAAAGATAGGTTACACGTGCATCGATATTGATTTTCAAATTGTACTTTTACGAGTATTCTGTGAATTAATTTTAAGCTTATACTGGGAAATAGTAAATCCATCATTCATACTCGAATTTCAGTTTGGTAATTTAGATAGCTTATCCACTACAGATTATGAGTTCCTGGTTTTTAACTACAGCTAGATTAAAATTTTAGCTAAAAAATACTTAGTAGGAGAGGAGCTGGATATTTGACAGTTTTATTCACGTAAGATAAAAAATAATTATTTTTTCTCTTCCGTGGTTTTATACCCCCGTTTCATGCACATATGAAGGCAGCAGTCATGGCGACTTTTTGTCGAGAGATTAAGACCTAGATTTGTGTATAATATCTCTTACACAGTCATAGCTAGTAGCAGTTATATTAGCCCCTATGACCGGCATTCGATGAGGTAAATATAATGATTATTATTATAGTCTAGATAAAGCTTAGTTACGTCACAATTTAATTTGTGAGGATTATGAATTGTTACTCTATCATGCCAGAACAGCTGAACGGATCTAGACGAAATTTGGCACATGAAATGAAACACATTGTCCTCTATCTGATTATAGTCTGGAATAGCACATAGGCTACTTCTTATCCCGAAAAATTTTACGGTTCCCGTGGGATACATTTGTTTTTGTCTAGGGACGAACCCGAAGTGAAGCGTGGGTGAGTTGCTAGTATAAAATAATAAAATGTAAAACCATACTAAATTTATTATTAAGACCCTATTTTTTCTCAATAAAAATTCTAGTCACGCGTATATGATCACAATTTGATTGCTGCAGAGACTATTTGCGGAAATAGTACGTCTCTTTAGGAATTTATGAGCCCCATCAACTTTTATTACGAATTGAATATATACAGATATTTTAGGTATAGTTTAGAGTGTTGATGATATGTAACATATGAGATTTTAAAATTATATGTATGATGTCAAATATAAAGAAAATAATTAAAAAACTGTATCTCTGATACCCGTACAAGCATACTTATATCGGTGTGGAAGCAATGCTATGCTCAAAAAGGATTTTTTGATAATATTCAAGTTATCAATATAAACAATTATCAAGTTCCTTTACTAGGTGAACGTACTGCGCTGAGTACCTGTGATTGGTCGATTACCGTTGCTAAAAATTCTTCGGTGTTTGACAGATGTGTATAA